AAAATTAAAGCCTCTTCAAATCGAATTTCCCTCATAATTTCCCATTACATTATTGTAATTCCAAGTCATTTCGAATACTTACCAAAGGCAGATACTGCAAAATTTATGAATAATATTTTTTATTTTTTTTTATAATACCGACAGATATATCCAACAAGTGTTTCCATTTTTTGTTTTTATTTTTTGTATGTTTTTTTTTTTTTTATATAAATATGGTCTTGGCTGGGTGGCTGTGTGACCGACAGGCAGTCAGGCTGGCTGGCTGGCTGTGTCTTCCAGGCTGACTTTATCGACCCAGTCCACTTGTTATGGCGAATTGCCACACATACAAACAACCACATTATTATAAATGTGTTATTCTCTTGTTTAAACAATTGTGTGCAACGTTCCTTTTTTGTTCGATTTTTTTTTTGTTTTGCTGCGGGTGTGAATGGCTGTTGATTGAGATGCTATGTCTGGTTGCTTCTTGTACTCCAGATACACAGATACCATAGTCCAAATAGAATGCAATGCATGCAACAGATATTGGAGGAATATGTATTGCGTTCTGTTAAAACGCATTCAGGCAGCTGATATTGAGAACAGTGAGACAAAATGTGGCCACGGAATTTTTGGATTCTATGGTCATCTACGAAAGTGTAGATGACAATTTCAGCAAATTTTTTTAGCAATCTACTGATAAGTATATGACATCTGGTCTTGATCTTCAGGTATTATGCTATTTTTGGTCATCTACTGCTTCTACTACAGATTTGAAAATAATTTTCAAAATATGCTTTAAAATATATGCCATTTTGTTTTAATTTTTCACTTCTATATTCTAATTCAAATCCTAAATTTGAATACATTTCCCACCTAATTTTCCCACTGTTGTCTCATCTAGAAAAAATTTGAGACTACCCACATACCCGGCACATAAGAAGACGTCGTGCTTCCTATAATTATGAGTCTGTGAAAAGCAAAAAAACCGAAATGAAATAATTCTCATAATTCAATTACCGCAACCTACGCATAAACCAATTTTTTCACTCCGCTCAATTCAATACAACAATGAATAGGAATGTCAGATTCAATTTCGCACAATTTCTGGTTTTTGTCTGAGCGTTTTTTTTCTTCTCTTCCAAAAAAACTTGTTGCTCAGCAAAATTTGCATTTAACCCACATTTTGTTTGTTTAGATTTGTGTAGTTGGCCATGGTGTTTCCTTGCCATCCTTTGGTGGTTGTCCTTTTACCTGGGCAATTGGGGTTACCATGGCAAACTATTTTGGTTGTCCTGCCAACTTGTCCCCCCCAACCTTTTTTTTTTTTGACTTTTAACTGGATATTGAATGACAAATTGACTGACCACTGGCCAGAGGGTTTGTCATGCCAAGAGAAAAAAAAAACAGATTTTATATTTTTTTCAAATTCTAAAAATTCAAGTGGTTTTGTGGCTGGGCATCCGGCCTGCCGACCGTCCCATGTTTTGCTAATTTCCAAAAATAAATTCCGTGTCTAAATTTTATTGAGTGAGTGATGAATGCACAAGTGTGTCCCAAAAAAAAGAAGAAGAAATCAAAGGAGAAAAAATAACTTGTGCATGCCCAGAAAAAAAAAACGTATAACAACAAATGAAAAACATGCAACAACAACAACAGCCACATCCACATGAACCCTACATGTCGCCCATCTACATCAAGTAAGTGCTAAAAATCTAATTTTCTTGTCAGTTTTCGGTTTTCTGCAACTTTTTTGATTTTGGCAAATGCAGTTTTCCACAGCTCCCCTCCTCTCCATCTTTTCGGAAAGACGATGTTCGTTCTAGTTTTGGTTTTACAGATTACAACAATGCACAATTTTCTTTTATTAATGCAAATTGAAAAAAATCGTGACTTTCGCGAAATGAAAGAAACGTAGAAAAAATATTTTTGTTGTAAATTTTTAAGCGTTGACATGAAATACATTGTTGGTGTTGTTGTTGCTTCTTTTCCGCTCTGTGATGAATGTGTGAAAAATGATAATAATTTTTGTTGTTGTTTTTTGTTCTATTAATTAGAAGTTTGTTGTTTTGTGAATTGTGTGAAGAGGCTGCAGGGAAGGAAAACTGAATCAGAAAAAAAGGGGGAGGTGGAATTTGCTCCACAAGCCATAGATTTGTTGTGGGAAATTGAAGATATTTTTAGGAAATTTTTAAGAGTAGATGCCATTTTTGGTTCATCTACTGTGGAGTAGATGTCATTGATGCTAACCTGAAATAAAATGTGTTTTTTTTGACATCTACCCTAGCGTAGATGACATTTGGGGTGATGTCCTCTAGAGTAGATAAGTGTTTTCGCCATCTACTATGGAATAGATGACTTCTGTGTTAACCGGAGAGGAGATTGCATGGATGATAATCTGAAATGAAAGATAATCTAAATTTTGGAGCATATACTCAGGAGTAGTTGGTCTGCCTCGGAGAAGATGGAATTTTTGTTTAGCTGCTTTCGAGTAGATGGCAATCAAGAATGGAGTAGACGAGATTTCAGGCCATCTATTATGGAATAGATGCGGAGTAGATGTAATTTTGAGTCATTTAGCGGAACGAAGACAAACACCTCTGGTCATATACTCTATAGTATAGGGAATTCTCGAACATCTACAGTGGAGAAGATGACTTCTACGGCGGAGAAGATGACATTTTTGTTAAACTACAACCAAGTAGATGACATAGATGATAATCTGGAATAGTGTAGATCACATTTTGAACAATGTACCTTTGAGTAGATGATATTATTGGCCATCCACTGAGGAGTAGATGGCATTTTTATTATCCTGCTGCCAAGTAGATGCTTTTTTGAGTCATCTATTATGGAGTAGATGACATTTTTATAACAATCTAAAATAGAAAAAACTTGCATTTTGGCTTATCTACTTCAGGGTATATATGATGCCTCTGGAGTAGATGACAATATGTCCTGAACTATAGATTTTATAAATTTTTCCAACATCTACTATAGAGTAGATGTCATTTTAGATTATCTATTATGGTTTTAATGACAGTTTTGTTCGTCTATTGTACCGTAGATTACTTTCTATGTCATACATTCAAGAGTAGATGTCAGTTTTGTGACATCTACTCCAGAGTAGATGAAATTCTTGGTTGTCTATTGAAGAAAATGTGACATTTTCAGTCATCTTACCTGGAGTAGATGCGATTTTCAGTCATCTATCCTGAATTATATGCCATCTACCTGGGTGTAGATGCCAGTTTTGTTCATCTACCCTGGGGTAGATGGAATTTTTTGTCATCTCTTGTGATTTTAATGCCAGTTTTGATCATCTATTGCAGAGTAGATTATATTCTTTGTCATTTACTAACGAGTAGATGTCGGTTTTGTGACATCTACTCCAGAGTAGATGACATTTTTGATCATCTACTGAAGAAAATTGGACATTTTAAGTCATTTAACCTGGAGTAGATGTCATTTTCAGTCATCTACCTTGAATTCGATGACATTTTAGGTCATCTGCCCTGGAATAGATGTCAGTTTTAATCATCTACCCGGTAGTAGTTAGAGTAGATGTCGTTCTTGATCATCTACCCCAGAGTAGAAGTAAGTTTTGGTCATCTACCCTGGGGTAGATGGAATTTTTTGTCATCTACTCTAGAGTAGATGTCATTTTTAATCATCTATTGCAGAGTAGATAATGTTCTTTGTCATCGATGTCGGTTTTGTGACGTCTACTCCAGAGTAGATGAAATTTTAGGTCGTCTACTGAAGAAAATTCGACATTTTAAGTCCCCTAACCTGGTGTTGATGTCATTTTCGGTCATCTAACCTGGAATAGAGTCATTTTAGGTCATCCGCCCTGTTGTAGATGTAAGTTTTAGTCGTCTACCCCGAAGTAGATGTTTTTTGTGGTCATCTACCCTTTAGTAGATCTCAGTTTTAATCATCTACCCTGTAGTAGATGACATTTTAAATCAAATACCTGGTAGTAGAAGTCATTTTTGGTCCTCTACTTTGGAGTAGATGTCAATTATGATCTTGAGTAGATTTCAGTTTTAGTCATCTACCCTAAATTATATGGCATTTTAGGTCATATACCCTGGTTTAGATGTCAGTTTTAATCATTTACCGGTAGTAGATACCAGTTTTAGTCATCTAGCCGGTAGTAGATGACATTTTTGGTCATCTTCCCTTTAGTAGATGACACTTTAAATCAAAAAAACCGGGTAGCAGAAGTCATTTTTGGTCTATTTTAGAGTAGATGTCAATTTTGGTCGTCTACCCTGGAGTAGATGGATTCTTTTGTCAGCTACTCTAGAATAGATATAATTTTTACTCATCTACGCAATAGTAAATGATATTTTTAGCGTTCTGTATGGACTGTATTTTATCTATAGGGAGGTGGTAGGAGGTCTTCCAATTTAAAAAAAAAAACTTATAGAAGCAGCGACGTACCTAGAGGGGTATTTTGACAACATTTTAGGATAGTGGGATCAAAACATCCAATTTTCAATGTAAAATGTACAAAGAATTTTAGAAAAGTAATCGGAATCGGACGTTTCAGAAGAGGGCCATAAAGTGTCTTCCACTTATAACAGTCCTGCGGAAAAACTCCTGCCTGTTATAGGTTATTATAGGCTCACATGCATATTTAAGATCTTGTTTCCACAAAATTCTCAAATAGATTCTACAAAAATATTGAAAAGAATACCCTTGCTCCTTAAAAATCTTCTTCCCATTACCAAAATTTGGATCGGGCAAAGGTTTACCTTTTTTATTGGTCACTAAAAACGCTTAGTCACAAGAGATGCGCTGTGAATTGAAATTGTCAACTCTGAAGGCAACAAATAATTGATGTTGACACAAAATGGCTAAACTTCAACGAAAAAAGAGGAAAAATAATCACTCGCAAATGTTCGTTTGTGTATTTTGGGGCAATGGTCTTTGATGTCTCGCAATTGCTTATTTATTTATTTTGTTTTCGTTTTTTTTTTTTCGTCGGTTCTTCTAAAAACTCCTAATTCTAGATGAAACACAAATGTACATCAACACCACAGGCAGTGTCATCAGCAACGCAACTGCTGCAATAAATGTCCCTTGAAAAAAAACCGGCGACGAGGTGCAACGGCCACCAAAGCCTTCTGGTGACACAACAATAAACAACAGCAACGACTTTTTGCTGGTGCTGCTGAACGTGTGACTCATGCGGCTAAGGCTGCATCATATGCCTGCTCCACACCAACTTAATTTAATTAAATTGAAAAATCAAATTCAAACTGAAAATTTGAAAAAACGTAAAAAGAGAAGACCTTAGCAGCAGCCAAAAAGAAAAAAAAAACTCAACACACGAAAAGGAAAAATCCTAAAAAAAGAAACAGGAGAGAAGATCTACAGCAGCGCTAATTAACGAAGCATATCAAAAAAAAAAAGTTCTGTTGCTTTTCTTGCACTTGAGCACAATAAATTTAGAACCAAAACGAAAACCAAAAACAACCAAAGAACAAAAATCACCAAACACCAAAGTCTGATCAAGTTAAACTGAAAAAAACACACCCCACCCCCTCAGAAAAAAAAACAATAAAAATTATATTTTATATAATTTTTCTATGTAAACTAATTTTAATTATTAATGCCTTAAACATGTCGGGAATATTTCGCAGTAATTCCATGTCAAATCATAGCAATGATTCAACGCCCAATAAACGCTTTTCGTTCAGTGCATTTTGGTAAGAATCACCTTTGTTTTTATTATTATTTTTTTTGATAAGAATATTACTTTTTTATCTAACATTACTAACCTTTTTTTTTAAGAAAAGACAAATATTTTAAATTATTCATATTTTTATGCGGTATTTAATGATTAAGAGAAACACAGGTAATTTCTATTGTGAGAAATTTATAAGAGATAAGGCAACATTGAAGAGAGTGTGATCCACACATGCAGTGTAAGAGAAATAACAGTGGATGCTGTTTAAAGAGTTGTTTAGAACACAGATGAGTTAAATCAGGGGTGCTCAAGAAGAAATATCTCTTTTCAGTCCAAGTTCTCTTTGCTTATTTAAATCAAGAACAAAACAGTGTTAAGTCATTATTTATACAAATATTTTTTAACCATTTGCTTTATAAATTATTTTGGCAAACATTCATGTTTAAAAACAATTAAATAGGACTGTAAAACATAAAGAAAAACAGAATTTTAATTTTCTCTTAAATTATTTCTTTTTTCTCTTCATGTTCTAGAACACTGTTTTGAGCACCACTGGTTAAATCCAGCGGTGCCCAAAAAGAAATATCTCTTTTCATTCAAATTTCTCTTTGCTTATTTAAATCAAGAAGAAAAGAGTGTTAAGTCATTATTTACATAATTATTTTTTATCCATTTGCTTTATAAATTATTTTGGCAAACCTTCGTGTTTAAAAACAATTAAATAGAACCGTAAAATATAAAGAAAAACTGAATTTTAATTTTCTCTTAAATTATCTCTTTTTCTCTTCATGTTCTAGAACACGGTTTTGAGCACCGCTGTAGTTAAGTCATAGATGGGCAAAATATTGAAAGAGAAATGCTTAGGGAATTTTGAAATAATTTTCTTATGTCGAGTTTTTTACTTTTTTTAGTAATTTTTAAACAAAAATATAATCAAAATAAACTCAAAAATTATTTTATATTAAAAATTATTCATATGTGTCTGTTTATTGATGCTTTACTTATGGCGGAGAATAAGAGACACCGACGCTGCCGTACATACTTGCCCATATATGGTCGAATAATGAAAGAAAAATTCAAAACAGCGATCTTGCTTCGAATTTACCTTATTTTATAATTTATAAACAAAAAAAATCAAAATTAGCTCAAAACCCATTTTAAAGAAATAATTGTAGAAAATTGCTCGTATGACAGATAAATAAGAGATACAAACTATAGCTTTCATATTAGCCACTCTATGTATTTAGATATTATCCACAGAGAGGCAAGGAGAGGAAATATTTGAAAAATGTATAAAAAGTGAATAGTGTTATCTCTCCCTCGCTCTAGATTCCAATGACTACGTTGGTGGAATCGGAGAAATAAACACAGAAGACGTACTAAAACTCAAAAAAAAAAAAAAAGTAGATGATAATGTTGGCCATCTACTAACGAGTAGATGACAATTTTGTTATCCTGCTGCCAAGTAGATGCCATTTTGAGTCATCTATTATGGAGTAGATGACATTTTTATTACAATCTAAAATAAGGAGTGGCCCGATATATCCCATCTTCACTGCAGATCTTGTGTTAGTGGAAATAATAGGAAGTGTGAAATATAAAGAGAACCGATTGCTTATTTCGGATTTTATGATCCCTTTGATAATTCAAAATTTCGACCCTTTGTGGGGGAGGTACCAGAAGGAATGGTCCGATCTGCACCATTTTTATAACAGATCTTGTGATGATGGAAATATGAGCTTCATGGATACTCACAATTTTGAACCTTTGTGGTGGAGGTACCAGAAGGAGCGGACCGATATATTCCATGTTCACACCAGACCTTGGTTTCATAAAAATATTGTGAGGTGTGTAATTTGAAGACAATCGAACGCTTACATCGCATGTTATAAGAGTTATAATTATCCAACATTTTGAACCTTTGTGGGGGAGGTACAAGAAGGAGTGGACCGATATATCCCATCTTCACACCAGGCCTTAGGTTAATAAAAATACTGTGATGTGAGTAATTTGAAGAGAACTGAAAGCTTATTTCGGATTTTATGATCGTTTTGATAATTCAAAATGTTAACCATTTCTGTGGGAGGTGCCAAAAGGAATATTCCGATCTCTACTATCTTTATAACAGATCTTGTGTTGATGGAAATATTGAGATGTACTAAGTCTAAATGGAATCGGATGTTAATTTCGTGTTTTATGAGCTTCAAAGGATATTCAAAATTTTGACCCTTTGTGGGGGAGGTACCCGAAGGAGTGGACCGATAATGTCCATTTTCGCACCAGATCTTGGGTAAATAAAAATATTGTGATGTGTGCAATTTCAAGACAATTGGACACTTACATCACATTTTATAAAAATTATAATTTTTCCAAATGTTGACCCTTTGTGGGGGAGGTACTTGTTCGAGTTGACCGATATTGTCCATTTTCGCACCTGACTTAGGACTGATGCAAATATTAGGATTTGCAAAGTTGGAGCAAAATCGGATAATCCTTTCTCTTTCTGTGCAGTTAATGATATTCTTTGAAAATATTGACATTTTGTGGGGGAGGTACCAGAAAGAGTGGACCAATACTACCCATCTTCGAACTCGATTAAAGTTTGACAATAATATTACCATATACCAAGTTTGGATCAAATCGGATACTCTCTACGAGAGTCCATTCGAGAGTTATTTGAATATTTCGCGATGTCATCTTGTAGCAGGCGGGTTTTCTATTCCAATCCATCATTTTCAGTTCATAGATGTCTCACAATTTGTAATATTTCCAACAATTTAGATTTAAGTAACTTCAGTATTTTCACTCATATCCCTGAAACGACATAGACGAAATCCGCTGAGCCCGAGAGAGTATTCCTTTTTTCATAAATTCATTAGTCTATAACATAACTTTTTCCAAAGCTCTTCTGTAGATATTAAAGCTTGTTAAGTTTCGCCGTAGAAAATCTTCCTTAGCTCCTACCGGATTTTAATAAGTTTAAACCCTCCAACTCTTTTACTACAATTCTCTAGGTTGCTTGCCACACAGTGGAAACCCTCGAATTCAAACCTTTTTATTTTAAATTGACAAAAATCCAATTCCCATTCAAATTCTTAAGTCTGCACTGTATTTAAAAAATCTGTGTCATAAAATAGCTCAATTAATGGCTTCATAAATAAAGTTGTTCTAATGATTTGTTTAAACGCTGTTTTTAGGGTGTTGCCTCAATCCGAAGCCTAGCGACAAGAAAACTAGTTTTCTCAGCACTCAACTTTAAATTTTCTATGGCTGGCAGGCCAGACTGACAGATCTCAAAAGAATATTTAGGCATTTTATTGAATTCAGTCAGAATATTTAATTTGTCGTAACAAGAATAGAAAAACAGCAGCTGAGGAAATTATGAATTTGAAAATCGCCTACATTGTTTGCTGGATAGTGACAACAGTCTTTTCCCCTCTCTCTGAGGGTCGCATCTTAAATTGCTGTGATTTGGCCAGGGAAATGTCCCGTTTGGGCGTTGCAAAATCCGAACTTGCCACCTGGTGTTGCATTGCCCAGTTCGAAAGTCGCTACAACACCACCGCCATTGGCCGCCTGAATGGCAATTGGTCCAATGACTATGGCCTGTTTCAGTTCAGCGATCGCTACTGGTGTCAGTCGTCGGCGAAGCCATCAAGAAGTTCAGCAAATTTGTGTCAAATTAATTGTCAGCATTTGGTCAGCGGCGATGATGTGAGAGAGTCTATCAAATGTGCCCAGAAAGTGAAAAAGCTACAGGGATGGCGGGCCTGGTCGGTGTACAATGGCCGCTGTAAGAATGCAAAACTTTTGCCCTCAATAGAGGAATGTTTTTGAAAAGTGAAAAACGGAAAAAATATCTTTGAATAAAAAGAAGAAGATCTGGTGGAAATTCCTTGCCTTTTTATTTCGCTTTGCAAAAAAACCGGGGAAGGTGTCTTTTGAGTAACAAGTTGTCTGCAGAACAAATGATAAATTACGACAGTTTTATGCCCCAGGACTGGGAAGAGAAGTGCTTACACACACAAATGAACAATAAACAAATTCTGTGATTACTTTATGTAAATGCATTGTTAAAAAATATTTGTTGATGGTTTTTATTTTTTTTTAATTTCTTGAAAGACATTCTTTATGAATGTTTCCAATTTCTTGTGTTTCCACTGGCCATTATATCGAGGAAATATATTTCACTCATTATAAATGGGCACACAAAAAAAAAAAATGTTGCAATGCTTGACCAACAAATGTTCCCTTTTGAAAATAAAAAAATTATTGAAATTGAAATGTTTACATTGTTGCACGGGAATCACACACACACGCACACACCCGCGAGAAAAATAATTTCCAGTTTTCATTTGGAGAAAATGTAAACAAAAAATCATATGAATTATGTTTTATTCAACAGAAAAGAAAACGGGTCTAATATTCGTGCAATATTTGCATAGAATTAAAACTCAACATCAACAACTGTTATTTTCTCTTTAACATACTCTCTCTCTTTGGAATGCTCTCTTTGAGGAAATTCATTAAAGAGTCGTTTAAAAATGTTTATTCGTCTTAGAACTTGGTCTATTAAAGTTTTATAAAGAAAAGGGACATCTAAAGTTGTTGCATAATCAGGATACCCTATACAGGATCAATAATTTAAGAAAAAAAAGTACGATGGAGCAAAACATGAAATAAATTACTTTAATTTACTCCATATCAGTCGATTATAATTATATAAACAGCATACATGATTATAACAACACACGTGGTCAAAATTAGATTAAAAATAGGATACCTTTAATGGATTTTGGATATTTTAATTTTTTCATGCACCAAAATTTAAATCTATCCATGGTACAATGAAGAGAAGGTAGGTCAACTTTGAAAAAATTGCAAGTATAGAGGTCTACCTGTTTGGCTTGTAATATCAGAAATAGTATCGAAACAATAACAAAATCAAACAACTTGTTGCATTTATTTTGAATAAATAATTGAAAACCGCGAAAACTGAATGAAAGGTCAACACTTCTTTTCAAAACCAGGTTCTATATATCTCTAAAGGATTATTTCGCTACAAAAACTCTAGATTTTGTCGATGCATACGATGAAATAAACATTTTGAAAACATCCGAATTTGAATGTTTTCTGAACAATTTTTTTGTTATTGAAAAGAAAACACATACATAAACAAATAAAGATGACATATTAAGCCAAGAAAATAAAAAAATTGAAATCATATGGTATCATAGCCCTACCTTGATATCATTGTTACCATGAATCTATCTATTTTTTTATTATTATTATTTTTACCCATTTCCAATTTGTTTTTAATAATTCACTTTAATTATCTCAATTACTGGATTTTTTAAATCAATCACTTGTCATCACTTCATCGATCGATCGTGTCGATGGTGGTCAGTCACTTCACAATGGGACACGGGGAAGATGAATTACTGTTCGTCTTCTTCTTCTCCTTCTTTAATTGGAACAATTTATATTTGAAATTTATTTTGAATTGCATCGGTGAGTGATTGTCGAGTGATACCAATGCTGCGACGCTACACGCCTATTCTGTCACTGATAAGAGACGTTAATCGGCACTTTTTTTGTTTTGTTAATGTTATGACCTGATGTTTATTTATAAAGAAAAAAATGAAGAGACTGATGATTTCATCTAAATAAGACTGATCACAGAAGAAAAACATAACAAAATCCAGCAGCAGAATGAATGTGTTAGATAGGGATAGAGGGAAGAATTGGGATTCAAAGGTGGCATGTATGAAGAGTTTCAGAATTTTTTCTATGTAAAGAAAAGCTTCAGATGGTATACGTTCTATAAAAAAGAGCTTCATAGGGTATTGCATGTAGAGAAGGGCATCAGAAGGTCTTCTTTTTACTGACGATCTTCAGGAGTTCTTTTATCCATAGAAGACCTTTTGAAGATCTTCTATGAAAAGAATAGAAGGTATCTTTAGAAGGTATTTTATACTCAGAAGTGCTTCAGAAGGTCTTCCATGTTTAAAAGAGCTTCAGAACGTCCCCTATGTTGTACAGAGCTTCAGAAAGTCTTCTATGTTTGAAGAGCTTCAGAAAGTTATTCTATCCATAGAAGAGCTTTAGGAGGTCTTCTATATATAGAAGAGCTTTAGGAGATCTTCTATATATAGAAGAGCTTTGGGAGGTCTTATATTTTTAAAAGAGCTTCAGAAGGTCTTTTATGTATAGAAGAGCTTCACGGGGTCTTCTATGTTAAAAAGAGCTTCAGAAGGTCTTCTGTGTTTTAAAGAGCTTTAGAAGGTCTTGAATGTTTAGAAGAGCTTCAGAAGATATTCTATGAATAGGAGAGTTTTAGAAGGGGTTCTATCCATAGAAAAGCTTTAGAAGGTCTTTTATCCATAGAATAGCTTCAGAAGATTTTCTATCCATAGAATAGCTTCAGAAGATCTTCTATCCATAGAATAGCTTCAGAAGGTCTTCTATCCATAAAAGAGCTTTGGAAGGTCTTCTATCCATAGAAGAGTTTTGGAAGGTCTTCTATCCATAGAAGAGATTTGGAAGGTCTTCCGTTTATAGAAGAAAAGGTCTTCAATCCCTAGGAGAGATTCAGAAGGTCTTTCAGACATAGCAGAGCTTCAGAATATCTTCTAGCCATAGAAGAGCTTAAGAAGGTCTTCCAGCTATAGAAGTGCTTTGGAAGGTCTTCTATCCATAGAAGAGCTTTGGAAAGTCTTCTATCCATAGAAGAGCTTCGAAAGGTCTTCTACCCATAGAAGAGCTTTTGAAGGTCTTCTATGTTTAGAAGAGCTTTAGAAGGTCTTCTATGTATGGAAGAGCTTTAGGAGGTCTTCTATGTATAGAAGAGCTTTAGGAGGTCTTCTATGTATAGAAGAGCTTTAGATGTTTAGAAGAGCTTTTGAGGGTCTTCTCTGTATAGAAGAGCTTCTGAAGGTCTTCTCTGTATAGAAGAGCTTTAGAAGGTAATGCCTGAATAGAAGAGCTTTAGAAGGTCTTCTAGACATAGAAGATCTTCAGAAGGTCTTCTAGTCATAAAAGTGCTTCAAAAGGTCTTCTGGTCATAAAAGATCTTCTGAAGGTCTTCTAGTCATAAAGGAGCTTCAGAAGGTCTTCTATGTATACAAAAGCTATTGAAAGTCGTCTATATATACTAGAGCTTTAGAAGGTCTTCTACTTATAAAAGAGCTTTTAAAGTTTTTTTTCTATAACTGTAAGGATTTTTTCTATAACTGTAAGGATGTAATATCTTTTGTTTTATACGAATATTGGAAGCTTTTCTGTATAGAGCAGATCTCTCGAAGTGCTATTTGTAAAATAGCTTTTCTTTCCAGATACGATGTTAGCTACATTAGAGCTTCAGAGCGCCTTCTCTATATTAAAACTCTTTTCTCTTTTTTTAAAAATAAATTTTTCACTTCATTTTTTTCCCACTTTTTTATTTCAATTTAGCTTTTATTTAATTGACATTTTCATTACACTCTAATACACATGCCACATAGTTTCACAAAACATTTCAAAAAATCTCCCAGTTCCTTAACCGAAACATTCCTCAATTTCAATATCCTGATACACGGTATTGGTGCTATTGCAAAATTCTCCATACACCGACCAGGCGGACCAACCCTGCTGTTTCCGGATCATTTTGGCACACTTCACCGCTGCCGTTATATCATCCTGCATCAGATCCATGCAATCGACATTGCATTCATTGTGGTAATGAAACTGCGGCTCCTTGGGCGGTTTACACCAGTATTTATCGCTTATCTGAAATATCCCATAGTCGAGCGAGCCATCCGTGTTGCGTGACCCAATGACATGGGTGTTGAAACGACTCTCGTACTGGACAATGCATAGCCAAAGAGGCAGCTCTTCTTTGGGTACGTCCAAGATATACAATTGACCTGCAAATTCGCATGGTTGCAGACGACGCGTCTGGGCCTCTTTGCTTTGAGTGATTAGCAATAAAAGCGTCACGATTATGGAAATTTGTAGCGTAAACACACGTGCTGCTGCCACTGCCACCTTTGGCTTGCTAGTCGGACGTTGTTTTGCATAATTAATTTGCTGAGAGCGTGAAATATTCATAATTCTTGGATAACAATTTTTGAATGAAGTATTGAAATCCCAGTTAACGTCCGACTCCGCACACTGGCTAATAAACTATGTTAATAATTGTAAATCATCATCAATGCCTGGCTGGCTGCCTGCCTGCCTTGGCTGGGTAGGGTGTTGACCAACAACACTGCCAGTGGTGCTACTGCCACCTCCACTCCACCCATGCCTTAACAGCTGCCACAGCGTGATGATAAGCAAACAATAGTGTTTTCAGTTTTTTTTTTTCAATATTTTTTAAATTAAACAACTTTCAAGTACAAAGCGAATAACAAAAACAAAAACTACCCAGAGTTTATTGAAATTTATTGCAAATTATGACAACAAAACCGGTTTAGTTTTTTGTTTTTTATTTTCTTTGTAAACAAATCTCCAGCTAATCGAATTCCACAAAGAAAAACAAAAAGAAACACCAAACCTTTTGAAAATTTCTATTAACAAAACGTTTTCGATTTTATGCTGCTCGCCGCTCAATTGAAGTTTGCAATGGTTTCAAAATCACTCACATTGCATTTGAATAATTAAAGTTCTTAATTGTTATTAATAATAAGGTGCTGCAAGATTCCAATCCAAAACTCCATGGACCACCTGCCCCCTAGGTGGTCTTTATTATTAGTTTGTTTTCAACTCGACACAGTCATTTGTTTGGTTTGGTGGCTGACTGGTGGTCAGTATCAAGTGTCTGCATTTCCAACCAATTAAATGTTGTTTTTTTAATAGCAAATTTCTTAAAGTTCCATTTTCAAAATGCTATCTCATTAAAATGAGCGGAAAGGCGGAAAGGAATGTAAACAAAATTCTAAATTGATTTTCCCTAATCAGTACCCAAGTGCTTGTCCAAATGACCCATGGCTATTATGTTACAGATGCTTGAGAAAATGTTTACAATTAATTTTTTGTTGGGCAAATATAAGAGATTTTTTATAACACTCGTGGAGGGCAGAGGGATAGGGATCCACAAAAAAAACACAAAACATGGAGAAAATAAATTAATTTTTGTGGCAAAATATTCGCTAGCACTTGAAAATGAAGCTTCAGAAGGAAGATCTTCAAAAGGTGTTCTAGCCATAGAAGGCTTCAGAAGGTCTTTAAGCGATAGAAGAGCTTCAGAAGATCTTCTAGCCATAGAAGAGCTTCAGAAGGTCTTCTAGCCACAGAAGAGCTTCAGAAGGTCTTTTAGCCACAAAAAAGCTTTAGAAGTTCTTTTAGTCACAGAAGAGCTTCAGAAAGTCTTTTAGCCCCAGAAGAGCTTCAGAAGGTCTTCTAGCTATAGAAAAGCTTCAGAAGGTCTTCTAGCTATAGAAGAGCTTCAGAAGGTCTTCTAGCCATAGAAGTGCTTCAGAAGGTCTTCTAGCTATAGAAAAGCTTCAGAAGGTCTTCTAGCTATAGAAGAAGGTCTTCTACCCATAGAAAAGCTTCAGAAGGTCTTCTAGCCATATGATCTTCTAGCCACAGAAGAACTTCAGCTGGTCTTCTAGCCTTAAAAAAACTTCAGAAGGTCTTCTAGTTATAGAAGAAGAGCTTCAGAAGGTCTTTTAGCCACAGAAAAGCTTTAGAAGTTCTTTTAGTCACAGAAGAGCTTCAGAAAGTCTTTTAGCCCCAGAAGAGCTTCAGAAGGTCTTCTAGTCATAGAAGACCTTCAGTAGATCTTCTAGTCACAGAAGATCTTCAAAAGGTCTTCTAACTATAGAAAAGCTTCAGAAGGTCTTCTATCTATAGAAGAGCTTCAGAAGGTATTCTAGCTATAGAAGAGCTTCAGAAGGTCTTCTAGCCATAGAAGGGCTTCAGAAGGTCTTCTAGCTATAGAAAAGCTTCAGAAGGTCTTCTAGCCATATGATCTTCTAGCCACAGAAGAACTTCAGCTGGTCTTCTAGCCTTAAAAAACTTCGGAAGGTCTTCTAACCTTAGAAGAGCTTCAGAAGGTCTTCTAGCCATTATGAGCTTCCGAAGGTCTTCTAGCCATAAAGAGCTTAAGAAGGTCTTCTGGCCATAGAAGAGCTTCAGAAGGTCTTCTGGCCATAGAAGAGCTTCGGAAGGTCTTCTAACCTTAGAAGAGCTTCAGAAAGTCTTCTATCCTTAGAAGAGCTTCAGAAGGTCTTCTAACCTTAGAAGAGCTTCAGAAGGTCTTCTAACCTTAGGGAAGCTTCAGAAGGTCTTTTGGCCATAGAAGAGCTTCAGAAGGTATTCTGGCCTCAGAAGGGCTTCAAATGATCTTCTAGCCTTAAAAGAGCTTCAGAAGGTCTTCTAGCTATAGAAGGTCTTCTAACCTTAGAACGTCTTCTAAGAGCTTAAGAAGGTCTTTTAACTACAGAAGAGCGTCAGAAGGTCTTCTAAGGGTCTGGCAAAAATTTTTGACTATTTTCCGAAAGGTTAGGAACATTGAATACCCTCCACCATTTGGAACGAATTTGGCAATTATCAAAAAAATAAAATCTGTAAAAAATTCTTTTAAAATCTTAAAAATACCGAATGTAGCCGTTATATTAGGGTCTATACGACGATGTGGGCCTGCATAAGCCATTAAATATTCAAATGCGAAACTTGAAACTAAAAAAAATCCGTGAATAATGTCGCTAAAATCATCCAAATACCGAATATCGGGAGGTGGCGTTTTATGGGGGCTATACGAAGACGTGGACCTGCACGGACTATTTTCTGTCGTAGGCTGTAGTATCCACTACGAACTTCAAATGCCAAGTTTGAAACGATTCCGGTGAATAATGTCGCTAAAATCATTAAAATACCGAATATCGGGAGGTACCATTATATGGGGGCTATACAAAGACGTGAACCTGCACGGACAATTTTCTGTCTTTGGCTGTAGTATCCATTACGAACGTCAAATACCAAATTTGAAACAATTCCGGTGATTAATGTCGCTAAAATCATGAAAATACCGAATATGGGGAGGTATCGTTATATGGAGGCTATACGAAGGCATGGACCTGCACGGACAATTTTCTCTCCTAGGCTGTAGTATCCATTACGAACTGCAAATACCCAATTTGATACATTTCCGGTGAATAATGTCGCTTAAATCACAAAAATACCGAAAATAGGGAGGCGCCGTTATATCGGGGCTATACCAAAACGTGGACCTACATGACCCATTTTCAATACCAAAAGTCCTGCAGCCATAATGTACATTTGAGTAAAATTTTATCAACCTACTTCATTTCGTTCGGAAGCTAGAGTGATTTCCACAGACGAAGGGAAATCGCTAAATCGACATAAAATGTTATGCTGATCGAGAATATACAGTGGTGGCCATATCATATGCAACTGAAATCTAACCTTTACCAAAAACCGTGAAAAAATTTTCTGAAAACAAAATTATGCAATTATTTTTTTAAATATTATTTTTTATTGCTTGTAGTTTAAGAAAAAAACATATACTCCATAGATATTCAATTCATTTATAAAAAAAAATTAGAAAAAGATATTCAGTCTTATTATGAAGTGGCCAAAACATATGCAACTAATTAAATCGAGCTCAGTAAAGTGCAAATAAAGTTAATATTTTGTTGCAAATCCGTTGTTGTCGATTACAGCCTGACATCTTCGAGGCATTGACGCTATATGATTGTCAATGACGCTTTTTGGGATTGATTTCCAGGCATCTTCCAGCCGGCAAAATAAAACATCTAAACTTGTACAATTTTCTCGATCAATTTTTTTGTTTACAATTTCCCACAGATTCTCTATTGGGTTTAAATCTGGGGATTGGGGTGGCCATTCCATTACCGTAACTCTATTATCGGCAAACCACGATTTGACCACCTTCGAAGCGTGTTTGGGGTCGTTGTCCTGTTGAAAGACCCACCGCAATGTCATATTATATTCTGCGTATGCGAGCATTACCCTTTGCAATATGTCTTTATACATAAATCTATCCATAATACCAACAATTCTATGCAGTGGGCCAACTCCAGCACCAGAAAAACAACCCCACACCATTATATTGCCCCCTCCATGATTGACCGTTTTTTTACAGTAACGTGCTTCGAGTCGTTTTCCTTCTGGTCGCCTTACATAGCACATGCCATCGCTACCAATGATGTTAAATTTGGACTCATCACTAAATAATATAGTTCTCCATTTACTTTCTGTCCAATTTATATGAGCTTTAGCAAATTCCAAACGCTTTTTCTGGTTTCGCTTGAATATCAGTGGTTTTTTTGCAGGACGTCTTGCGCAGAGGGAGGCTTGTAAAAGTCTTCTACGGATGGTGCGAGCAGAAACTGGCAACTGAAATCTTTCCACTATCTTAGAGGATGATATAAATGGGTCTTTTTTCACGTGTCTGATTATTAATTTGTCCGTCCGATCGCTTGTTTTTCGACTTCGACCACCACGGTGTATAACAGAGACTTGTGATTTTTTTTTGTAATTATTAATGATGCGCGATATGGAGCTTTTATGAACGGTATATTTCTCGGCAATACATTTTTGTGATAATCCAGAAGAATACGCAGTCACAATTCGTTGTCTGAGCTCAAGTCCAAATTTATCGCGTGCCATTTTTGAACAAACTCTATTTTAGCTTTGTGAAAAAAGCAACGCAATAAAAATGTGAAGGTAGCTTTAAATCTCTTTACGTAGTGTCTCTAGCTAATAATAAGAAGAACAATAGAACAAACGAAATTGTAAAAATGCCGTTATTTAAACCAAATATATAAAGTTGCATATGTTTTGACCACACCAAATTTCATATTTGTCAACAAAACACCTGTAAACATAGAGATGTAAACAAAAGATGCACATTTTGATAATAATTTGAAATCGTAAGAACGTATTGACTATAATTAACCCACCTTTATATACTTCGTTGTGAAATTTACAAATTTATATAGCCTTTTAACGTAGATGAATCTTAGTTGCATATGATATGGCCACCACTGTATATACTTTGTGGGGTCTAAAATATATATTTCGAGGTTTTACAAACGGAATGATAAACTTAATATACCCTCAATACTATGTTGGAGGCTATAAAAATATATACTCCTCTTCGGAAATGACCTCCATGTGATTGATTCTCTTCATAAATTTATATTTCATTCGAGTAAAATATTAATTATTCAAATAAATCCCTGCACTTTATGTTCCGTTTCCTATTTTTTCTAGTATGATGATGGATGGCCTGTTTCCCAGTTGAAATAATATTTTTTTTCATATAATTTCAATATTAACGAGCGTTTTACAACGCCAAACACCATTCACTTGAAATGTGATTATTCTGAACAATCATCCATCCATCTATCCAGGCTAGAAGATTTGTGGTTGTTAGAGATGTGATTTTTAAAAATAACTTCACGTTCACGTTTTTCCACCTCTTATGTTTTTCCAAAACTTGATTTATTTTTAGAATCTGATTTTTTCAAAGGAACATCATCATCATCGCCATGTGAGTTGAGTTGTATTGTTGCACACAGACAGACAGTTATGGCGGGCATAAAAAATAATCCCAAACCGTTGGAGGCCTATTTTGAATTTCCGACATTTATTTAAATTGTAAAATAAATTCAAAAGAAATTGAAAGATAACACTGTCATTACAAAATAATTAATGTGAATCCAATTTTTTTTATTTGTTAATACCATTCCAAAATCTATTCATCAAAAATGAGCCATTTATTCAGTTTTATTTAAGTGTTGTTGTACATTAATTCCATACGATTGCATTTCATGTTGGTTGCTGGTATTGGGATTTGGTTGAGGAAATGGTCAAACACTCTCACTGACCTTAAGCGGATGTTTTGAATATGGAAGAAGCAGACCCGTCAATAAATATATAAATGCATGTTAATTATTCCAAAGTTTGTTGGTTTCTGTTTTATGGTAGGTCTTAAATGGGAAATTGCGTATTTTCGTAATGCGTGCTGTTTGTTCTGGGCTGGGGTGGGGTATGGTAACAAATCGAAAGTTCATAATATGTAATGAGGGGGGTATGTGGAAATCAAAACATTACAGAGTGGCATGAGATTTTGAAAATTAATAATAAATTGAATTGAAAAACTGTTTTGATAATCAAAAAAATATGGAACCATGGTTCCATGCATCAAATCCCATATTTATTGGCCCTCAATACAATATTTTTGTCGAAAAATATGCGAAATAAATCTTCATATTTTGACCATGAATGGCTGGGCTACGATGGGCTTCCTCACAGTCGTGACGTGATGATTTACGCAAAAAAATATATAAATCAAATAATTACTTCATATTCTCTCTCACTCTCTGTCTCTCTCTCTCTCTCTGTGGAGGTCATTTAAATAAATGCCATATGAGGTCATTTGTTATTCTTCCGAAATGGGGAAAAAAGGAGAAGCCCATCTTTTTCTGTGCAAAACGCGCACATAATCAAATTAAAATTTAAGTATTTAATTAATTTTTCAATTGTGACTACTATTCACACAGACAGTTTTTGATCTTGATGATGAAGAGCAGTTGTGCATGATTCGTATTATTATGATTGTTATTAATGGCCTTCTTTGTATTCTTATTATTTTCCAGCACCAGCCCGGGTACTCTACAAGATGTGACAATGGACAATCCATGTAAGTATTTTAAAACAGATGTGCAAACGAAGAATTTAATTTCATCTTTTGATTGTATTTTGTAGCCAGGAGAAAGAGGTTTTCAAACAGGCAAAGGGCAGCCCAATCAATATGGGGACTTGAGTTTTGTAACAGATCAAGGCGAAGACTAATGGTTTTTGCAATATAGCTTTGAGAATTATGCTCAAAATGCAGCTTTCTTTGAGAATTCACAAAAAGCCAAAGTTATTTTTATGAAGAAAATGCATTCAAACTAACGTATTTGTGGGGGAGGTACCAGAAGGAGTGGACCAATATTGTCCATCTCCAAACTCGATCTAAGTTTGACAAAAATAATACCATGTACCAAGTTTGGATGAAATCGGATACTTCAGCCAGACAGATGGACGGATCGACTCCAAATGTCCTGAAATGGATTTGGTTCAAAGAGACTTAGGGTCTAATACCGTTATTTCGATGAGGCACTTTTTGGTCATGTCAAATGATATATCTACCCTCTCTAGCCATACGGCCGAGAGTATAAAAATCAGGTTTTGATGATAACTTTTTTTTGAGAGAAATGGATTTTGAAGAAATATTCCAATGTTTCATTTTAATAGAAATAGAACTGCAAGCAACCGCTGTGTCTAGTTATGTAGGGTATCAAATCGTCATGTATGGCAATTTTCCTATTTCAAAAAAGACCTCAGAACTACCCTTAAAAATATAAAAATTTAAAAAAAATGATGACAAAAAGAATTTTTTTTCCATTTGCCGGCATCTTTACGATGATGGTCATACATTGTATATTAGGTTGGGTCAAATTGTTTTGAGTAAAAAACATTTTTTATTTTTTTCAAAATACTACGGTATCCCGAACAAACAAGCCACACTGTTCTATTTTTTTATTGTCTCACATTTTTTTACAACCTTTAGATCCAGGATTTAATAAGGCTTCCTTGCAGATTTGGAAAGTTCCTTCTTCCCCCTTCCACATTTTTTTGAAATTTTCTAATTGTAATTCCAACGGATTCCAAGTTGATTTAAATAAATCGATTTTAATAAATCGCTTTCTTGTTGAAATTTTGACAGAGAAAAACATTGACCCACCCCATTGTACATCTTTCTGCAGTTATTTTTTTTACTCATTCTTTAATGCTTTCCATTCACATATCGATAAATTTCAAAGTATAAATGTGGAATTTAAAAAATATGAACTGAAATCATGGTCATTTCCTAAAAAAAAATTGTTGGCAAAGACTCAAAAAATTCCAAACGAATGAGGGTGTAAGGCAAATAAATATAACATAAGTGGCAAATTTGAGTAAAAGAACACAATGATGAAGGGTATGGATGGATGGATGCTGGCTGGCTAGCTAGCTGGCTGTCTGCCGCATGTCCACTTAATATTCATATTTTCTTACAAACACCACGTGTGTTGACTTTCACATTGTTTGGACCGACATGTAAAGGGCCGATGTGTGTTTTTTCTTTCATTGATGGGGTTCATTGTTGTTTTGAACTTTGTTAATAATTTTTAGTCAAAGCAAATGTGATTAGTTACATAGATAATTACACTTGGTTACAAAATTTTAGAATAACATTAATATTTAAATTTCATTGTGTCATGCTATACATAACCTAAAAATACGACTTAATGCATAAATTACGACTTTTTATGAACGATAGGAATATATTACAAGTTTAGCTGCCTTATTCAAAATATATAAGTTTGAAATTTGACAAAAAAGAAACAAGTAAAAAAGCTGGAAGTTCGGCCTTTGAATATACCACCATTTGGAACGAATTTGGCGATTGACTGACAATTTTCTGTCTTAGGCTATAGTACCCATTACGAACTTCAAATGCGAAATTTGAAATATTTCCGGTGAATAATATCGCTAAAATCATCAAAATACCGAATAGCAGGAGGTGGCTTTATATGGGGGCTATACGAAAACGTGGACCTGCACAGACAATTTTCTGTCATAGGCTGTAGTATCCGTTACGAACTTCAAATACCAACTTTGAAACAATTCCGGTGAATAATGTCGCTAAAATCATCAAAATACTGAATATCGGGAGGTACCATTATATGGGGGCCATACGAAGACGTGGACCTGCACAGACAATTTTCTGTCATAGGCTGTAGTATCCATTACGAACTTCAAAATCCAAATTTGAAACAATTCCGGTAAATAATGTCGCTAAAATCATCAAAATACCGAAAATAGTACCATTCTATGGGGGCTGTACCGAAACATGGACCTACAAGGCCCATTTTCAATACCAAAAGTCCTGCAGACATAATGTACATTTGAGTAAAATTTTATCAACCTTCTACATTGCGTTCGGAAGCTAGATTTATTTCCAGGGACGGACGGACATTGCTAAATCGACATAGAATTTTATTATTTATTCAAGAGTATATATATACTTTGTGGGGCCTAAAATGTATATTTCAAGGTGTTACAAATGGAATGACAAACTTTATATACCCTCCATATTATGGTGGAGGGTATAAAAATTCTATCTTTGACTATTTAGCCAACTCGAGACCAATTTCATGTCAGCAAATATGTAGAATAATGTTACCATGTTTTTGACTCAAATATGGATCTCCTTCTGAAAAAATAAAAAAAATGTGCTTTTAATGTTCATTGAACTAACCTCAATTGGCTACCTCGTGAAGAAAAGTTTTCGTCTTTCATGTATTTTGATCCCTAAAAGTCTAATTTCTTAAACCAACAACTTTTTCAATATCAGCTGACAGCAATTCTCTTTGGGTAATACACGTCTGTTTCCAGCTAACATTCCCGTCAAATTGATCTGTGGTTCTCTTTTTAACGAAATCCTCCTTGGTATTTCATCCTTCAAATATATCCCTCAATTCTTCACATTAAGCTGTAATACTTGGCTTAATATTTTTTCAATATCCCTCAATGTTCCTGAACATTAAATTCATTGCATTTTCACAAATTCCTCTGACTTTCCCACATCAAATATAAAAACACTATCAAAATCAACTTCTCTGATGGCTGGCTCTCTTGGTATTACAAAAAATTTAAATTCTTAAAATTTTTCTCTCTGTCTCTTCATTGTTTTAATATCTCAACCTTTAAAAAGAGCACAGCTTCTGTAACGCCACATTAATTAATAAAACGATTCTGTATGTGGCTGGCTGACTGACTGACAGGCGTTTGGGGGGAAATATCTGAAAATTCATTTGTGGCAGACATCGTCTGTGTTATAATTGTTGTTGTTGTTGCAGTGCTGCTGCTTGTTTTTTCTTTTAATTTCCATTTAAACTAAACAACACCACCCCCACGGATCTTTTTTTAGTTCAACCAAAGAAAAAAAACTTTTGATCATTACTTGTCGTGCCTTAAAACAACATAGTTTTGAATAAAATGTAAAGCGAAAATAATTTTGAAATTAAATTGAAATAAAAAAAAATTCTCATAAAAACTTAATTTCAAAAAAACAACGGGAAATCAAAACGGAAAATTTGCTCAACTGGAAAATTCGTTAAAGATTTGTTTTCAATAACAAAAATAATGCAAAGAAATTGCATAATAACAAATAGCAGCAGCAATAAAGAAGGCAACAACGGAAATGATTATAATTTATTAGAAGATTTTGAAAAGACACAGCCGCCCTCATTTTGTTGGCCAGATAATCGCCCCGTATCACTTCAGGGTAGATGTGCAATGTTTATATTTCGTTGACCACTTCGTTGCAATCTATTAATTGTGATTCTTTTTTTTTTATTTCATTACAGATGGTGTGGGCTATCGTTCACCCTGTGTCAGCCTACAGCAGCCATTCCAAGGCTCCACCTCTCCGGCGGGCCAAGGCAGATCTGTAAGGGAATTTGAGGAACAGATGGCCACATTGCGCAAGGAGAATTTCAATTTAAAATTGCGTCTGTATTTCATTGAGGAAAGTATACCAGGCTATCAGCAGGCCTCAAATTCCAGCGAGGGCCAGGAGACCCTTATGAAACAGCTCATTGATGTGCGAGTCGAAATGGAAATTTTGCGCAAAGAAATCCAGGAAAAACAGGATCTCCTGAAAGAAGCCGCCCAGGCCATGACACAAATGGAGAAGATACAAAAGGACACCGAGCTGAGATATCAGGAAATGATTGATGAACTTAAGCAAAAGATACAGTACATGGAAATGGATCGTGAAATGGAAAAGGCAAAGTCGGGACATGTCAACACGGAATCGATGAGTGATTTACTGGGACGTTCAGAGATCCATGAAAACATGAATGCCTTGCAAAGGGTGGGTCCTTAGAAACAATTAAATAATTTAGTTTTATAATAATTTCTTGTTGTTTTATAGATACGCGATCTGGAATCGTTATTGAAACAATCCGATGAAAAGCTGGAAGATTTCCAACAGCAAATAACCAAACTGGATGAAATCTTGGCCAAGCGTGATGAAACCATCCAGGAGTATGAGGAAAAAGTCAAGGAACTGGTCTTCCAAAATGCCGAGCTATTGGAATCGGTGGAAAATCGTGATCTAGAATTGGCCACGAAAGAGGTAATTAGTTATTCCAATAAAGAGTTGCGGCAGCATAATCATCAACCCATTGATTTATAAGCCAAAAAATAATTTTATAACTTTCCCAAGCGTTCCATAAAAGGTCTACGTTCCGCAAATGCTGAACTTAAATCTGAAAATGAAAAACTCGTCCTAGCATTGCAAAGCACTCGGGACAATTTCGGCAAAGAAATGTCCAATATTAAAGAATATGAGAGCCAAATGCGTCAACAGCAAGAAACCTTAACAAAAATGCAAGTAAGTCCAAGAAGCAGTGCTGGGTGTCCAGGTGGAAAGTTAAGGGGGATTTGTATATAGAGGGTGAGATAAAAAAAAAAACTGCAACCAAGTCAAAGGCCATAACATTTTTGTTTAAAATTTCATTGAATGAAAGCAAAAATGTCGGAAATAGCATCAAATTTTGGTATAAGTGTAGATTTGTTCGAATTCGTGCCGAATTATGGCCTTCAAACTGCCAATGAAACCGTCACAAGCTGCTCTGCGGTAGTTTGGCCCATTCCCCGCGGAAGCGCTAGCTTGAGGTGTTCGACACTTGGGTATTTTTTAGTGCCAACCTTGCTTTCCAAAATACTCCGGGCACAATAGTCCAACGGATTGGTATCCGGAGATTTTGGTGGCCATTGTGCTCTGGAAATGAAGTGAGGAACCTTATTTTGTAACCATTCTTGGGTGACACTTGCGGAGTGCGATGGTGCTGAGTCCTGTTGGAATGTCCAAGGTCTGCGGCCAAAATGTTTGCTTGCGCCCAAGGCTTTAATACACCCTCCAGAATATTTTCGCGATAATATACGGCATTTATTCTGATGCCACGATCGATTAATACGAGCGGAAAGCACCTATCGGCTGTTATGGCGGCCCACACCCACACCATTACCATGGCCGGCGCTTGAGTTCTGGTGGCCAACCTAAGGTGGACATTTTCACCTGACCTCTTTGGCAAGAAAACACCAGCGGATCATTTTGTTTGTTTACAAACTGCTGCTGGACAACGAATGTTTTCTCATCGGAGAAATCCAAATTCGACAGTTCGACATTCGACATTCGAAGTAACTCTTTAGCTCTTTTGAGTCTATTTTCTTTCGGTTGCGGTGTAAGTTCTTGCACTTTTTGCAATTTCAATGGCTTTACCCCGAGCTCATTTTTCAATGCCATTTGCCGAATGGAATATTGCGGTATGTTCAGCTCACGAGCCATTTTTCGGCCACTGTGACGCGGGTTTCGATCAAGTCGCTTCTTTACTTTTCGAACCATTTCCACTGATGTTGCTGTTTTCTTCCGTCCACTTCCTTGACGTGGGGCTACGCTACCAGTATCGTGTTAACGAGCGATGGTACGAGACAAAAGATTTTTTCACATTTAAATGCTGGAGCCCTCTAACGATGGCCACTTGTGGTTGGTTTTCCAGCCAAATATAAAGAAATCGCACTCTCTCGTTTGAATTCCATCACGAATAACTTTTTTCCGGGAAAACTCTCACCAAAATGCTTTTGTACGCTTGTAAACAATATAATGAGCTGTCACTGGAATAATTTTAAGAGCTATTGGACGAGCTGGCTTAGAAATGACAGCACTCTGAAGTTGGTTGCAGTTTTTTTTTTTCATCTCACCCTGTATACATATGTGGCTAAGGTGGTGGTTTTTGTTTGTCCCTGCAGTCATTTAAAAAAGCCTTCACACATATCCATTCAAATTGATCTGGCGATGGTCTGTCAGGGCCTTCCGTAGGCAATAAATAAAGGATCTTCTAAGCTATATTTAAGGGGAGGTTTTTAATTTTTTTTTTTTTTGAGTTATATAGACATGAAATGCCATATTTGCCTCTCTGTAGAATAACTCTTTCTTTTTCAAATCCATCGTTTGTGCTATACTATCTTTTGCAATATCAAAAGTGTTTATGTCTCACTTTTTTCGATGGAAATTGTTCTCTAAATCTTTAAAGCTTCACATTCATTTGTTCATTAAATCATATTAAAACATCTGCTTTAAAAATTTTGCATTTCTAACCAATCATCACTTCTTTATTCATTCATGCAATTTCATTGATGGCTTGGTATAAACACATGTGTCGGGTTTCTGCATCCTCATCTCATAATCCCACAATCACAACGAACAAAAGACCACCATTTCCATTAAAACTGCCAATACTGAACGTTTATTGGAACGCATACAGGATTATGAACAGATTGTAACGCGAATGAATATCGAACGAAATATTGTAAAACGTGAAAATCAATTTTTTAAAATGATGATCGATAAATTAAGCGCTGCCCGAAAAGACGACGAAGAACTAATGAATCATAAAAAGAATTTCCTGCCTAATCTCAATTTTAAATTCAATTATTTGGGTTTGAACAAACAAAAGAATTTCGAGACAAATTGTTGTCCACGACGGCCAGCCAAGAGATTGCAAGAAGATGTAGACAAACAAACATTTAATTTTCAACAAAAACTATGTTTCAATATTTGCTGCAATCGGGAATGCTGTCGTCAAAAGAAACCAGCGATTAATAATAATTGTGGGCAAGTAAATTCCCAGGAAAATGACCATGAACCTTCCGATAGCCTCATGGAAACAAATATTCCCATAAGGTATACCATAAGTGATACAAGTCTCTTTAGTCAATATCAAAATTCTAGCAAATCAGTGAAACCGCAATGTCTTCTTTGTAGCGAGAGTAAAACATTTTATTTGGATAGAAATGCACTTTTAAATGTGAGTAGTTCCTGAAATGAAACAATCATATTCATTGTCAAATATATATGTGTATTCAAAAGATTCCAAAATTGAATGATAATCGTTATCAATGGAGCATGAACAATAATAATGAACAGCAGCAGCTGCAGCAAGATGGTCTGAATTGTCTTTACTCAAAATTTGGCACATCTTTTCCGTGAGGGATTTTTTTTTTTGCTCAAGAACTTCCAGTTGTTTTGAACATTTTCCCATGTTGATTCAAATACCCATTACAAAATATGTATGTATATATTTTGAGCAATTTTTTGTCACATCCTTTTTATTTTTCTTTATTTTTGAATAAATTTAACATATTTTGTAATATTTTTGAAATATTGTTGATATGCATTGTCAAAATATCCCCAAATAGCAGAGTTTACAATTTGTTCGTTTCCGTTAGGGTTGCCCCTAGAAGTAAATGTGTAATCCGAAGGTCTATTTGGATTTGAAGGAGTTGGGGCCTATTTGATCAAAAGTTTTTTTTATCCATATAGAAGGGTACATCTTCTCTGGTATAGCGAACGATTAATTTTATTGCCAAATATACCCAAAAATTTTAAAATTCCGATAAGATTTTCAAAAAATAGTCTATGGATATAAATTTGGTTGTCATAGTTTCGCCACCTTTTAAACTCTGCAAAATTGGTTCGAGTACAATAAAAGAAACCTCTTTGGTGTGGGCCTCTATGGCAAACAGTGTTGTAAAAATAAAAGAAAACAAGAAAAAAAGCTGTAAGGACCTACATAAGTAACTTTTGACATATGCCGTTACAATATTCAAATGCGAAACTTGAAAAAAAAAATCGGGGAATAATGTAGCTAAATTCATCAAAATATAGGGATGCACCATTTTATGGGGGCTATAGCACAACGTGGACCTGCACGGACAATTTTTTGTCATAGGCTGTAATTTGAAACAATTCCGGTGAATAATGTCGCTAACATCATCAAAATACCAAATATCGGGAGGTTCCATTATATGGGGGCTATACGAAGACGTGGACCTGCATAGACAATTTTCTGTCAGAGACAGAAGTATCCATTACGAATTTCAAATACCAAATTTGAAACAATTCCGGTGAATAATGTCGCTAAAATCACCAAAATATCGAATATCGTATAGCCCCGTTATATGGGGGCTATATCATAGGCTGTAGTATTCATTACGAACTCCAAATGCCAAATTTGAAACAATTACGGTCAATAATGTCGCTAAAATAACCAAAATACCGAAAATAGGGAGGAGCCCTTATATGGGGGCTATACCAAAACGTGAACCTGCACAGACAATTTTCTGTCATAAACTGTAATATCCATTACGAACTTCAAATACCAAATTTGAAACAATTCTGAGGAATAATGCCGCTTAAATCGCCAAAATACCGAATATCGGGAGGTACCGTTATATGGGGACTATACCAAAACGTGGACCTACTTGGCCCATTTTCAATACCAAAAGTCCTACAGACATAATATACATTTGAGTAAATTTTTATCAACCTACTTCATTTTGTTCGGAAGCTAGAGTAATTTACACAGGCGGACGGACGGACATCTCTAAATCGCCATATAATGTTATGCTGATCAAGAGTATTTATACTTTGTGGGGTCTAAAATGTATATTTCGAGGTATTACAAACGGAATGAAAAACTTAATATACCCTCCATACTATGATGGAGGGTATACAAGTTCGAACAATTCTAGTAAAAGAAAAGAACTGAAAAGAAGTAGCTTCTGGTAACTGGCATTTATTTGGTTAAACAAAACCAAAGTATATCCAAATTTGAGAAGACTTTGTGGAGCTTGGAATGCTTTTTACTGGAATCATAACCACCAGAGAATTTGAGGACTGTTCGTATTGAGTTTGTCCCGAAGAATACTAGAGATGTTGGAGATCTGGCCAAATTCTTATCCAAGTAATATCGACGGTTGCAAAATTGTCCCGCGTAAAATCAAAAGTTTTAGTCGACATCTCGTATGGACTTTAGCCAAACTTTTGATTGGATTAATTGTCATTGGCAAAAAAACTGAATTTGAGTAGATTTGGTCGACGAAATTCTGATTTCCTGAAAAAAGTGGCGGAATTTCGTTTTTTTTTTTTTTTTTGTTTTTTTTTTTCGGATCATACAAATTGGAGAATTGAAGACTGTTCTAATTGAATTCGAACCGAAAAGCGTCAGACACTTTAGATAGCTCACTGAAAGATGGCTGACGTGACCTCGGAATATATCTTCTAACCCAAAGTTGGTGGAAAATCTGACTTCGTAAAAAAATCTGTATAAAATTCTATCCAAAAGTTGGTGGAAAATTTGACATTTTAATTAGTTTAATTTGTTTAAATCCGAAAAATCGGAGGATTGAGGGCTGTTCTAATTGAATTCGACCTGAAAAGCATCAGATAGCTGACCGAAAGATGTCTGACGTTACCTCGGAATACTATTCTAACCCTTAGTTGGTGGAAAATCTGATATTTCGTAAAGATTTCTGTCTAAGATTGTGATCAAGAAAGGATCAAGTTTCTTTCTAAGGTTTTACTTTTTTGTCTTGAGACCTTAATTTCCTTGCAATACTTGGGTATTAAACTCAGTTTTTTCATTCTACGTATAACTCCAATGTATTGACTATATAATTTCTTGGAAAGGGATCATTTATTTGTTCTCTTCCATCGCATTTTACTTTCCATTCATCATTTTCAGCACAGCTCACTCAAAATCGCATTTTTCACACAACATTCACAATGGGTTGATGGTTATGGTGAACATTTTCAAGATTTCATTGAATTTTTAATAACTCATAAATCCCATTCTTCTCCTTTGAAAAACAGACCCAACAGCTAAAACAGGATTTGCAAAAATGTAAAATGGAAGTGGCGGATAAAATGTGTTTGGTGCAGGAATTGGAAGATAAACTGAGCAATCGCGACCAACTGTACGACAAGGCACGTTTTACCATACAAAAATTAATGTTGCACATTAAAAATCAGCAGGCTGAAATAAATCGTCTCAAGAATCACAATTCCAGTCAGTCTTCGTCGACGAATAACAATAATAACAACAACACGGCCAATAATGACAAAGAGGTGAGTTAAAACAACAAAACTTTAAGGCACATCGTAAAACTTTGTTTATTTTTCTTTTTAGAATGCTAATAGTGCCGTTGGCTTAAGTGGCCTAGAGGTTACCGGTTTCTGTCCCTCGCTCAGTGATTCAGATGCCATACAAGATGTCATGCCATTGGCCCAAAAACAAAAATATGAAACAATTATTCAGGAACAGGAGACGGTTATTGAAACCTTGAAGGCAGATATTAAAAAGAAAACGGCTGATCTGCAGGTAAATGTAACACAAAAGGAAACTTGAAGAAATAAAATATATTGCCCAGGATAAAATGATCAAATACGCTATCATATTTTACTTTCAATTCCAAGTAACCCATTTTTTTAATCCTTTCCAGCATTTCGTCAACAAAGAGTTGTGGGAGAAGAATCGTGAAATAGAACGTCTCAATAAAATCTTGAACAACAATTCTGCCACAAATGGTAGCCCCACGTCCCCGAAAAATAACAATACCAGCAATAACAACCTGAGTCAAGAAGGTGCTGGTGGTGAGCTGCAGCAATCCTTTTCCGATGTGGAATATGCCAAGGCTGTGCAACGCAATAAGCTATTGCAACGTAAAGTCGATATTTTACTACAACGTTTAGGTTCGGAGCGCAATGCCGATGCTGTTATTTCACAATTACGCACCGAACTGAAACAGGCTCGGGCCGATGCTGAGCATGCTGAAAAATGGCGTCGCCAATGTGGAGATTTATGTGCCACACTGTCAACACGTTTGGAGGAGCTGGCTGGCTTCCTGAATTCCCTGCTAAAACACAAAGATGTCTTGGGTGTTTTGGCCGTGGAGAAACGTAAGGCAATGCGTCGGGCTGTCGATCGCAGTCTGGATTTGTCCAAGAGTTTGAATATGACTCTCTCCGTTTCGGGTCTTTCCATGATTGACCACTCACTGGCTGAGTTACACAATTTGTCAGATATTCTCGGGGATGTTGAGGCTGGTCTGGCAAATGAAACATTTAATTCTCACGAAGAGTTACATGCCGTCAGCTGTGTCAGTGGCCAACAACAGCCGTCCATTGAAAGTCTGAAGGCTGAAAATAAGGCCTTGAAAAAGGAATTGGATAAGCGACGCAATGCTGAAAACAAAAAGGAGAGAAGGTCCCTGCCACTCAGTGTCATGTTGGAGAATCGTGAAAGTGAATCAGAAGCCTGGTCAGAACCTGATCGCAAGGTTTCCCTGGCACGCATTGGCTTGGAGGACCACTCAGCCTCGTTAATGCCCCCAGCGGCAAAGGAACCTTCCTCTACCCAACAAGCCGAAACCGACAGTGATTACAGTGAATCCGGTCAATTGGATAGCCGCAATATGAAATCTTCACGTACCCAGGAACGTATCAATCAATTGGAACAAATAATACAGCAACGCGATAATCGCATACTCGAAATACAAAATCAATTAGCCGAGGCTGATAACATGCTGCGCAAAGAGAAAATGAAGGTAGAAGAATACACCGAAGAATTGGAGGAACTAAAGACGCGCAACAAAGAACTTCACGATGATTTGGTAGCTATTGGTTCCCATGAACCATCCACCACTGCCCACGATGAATCCATGCTATTGCAGCAAATTGAAGAGAAATCTCGTTCCCTGGAAAAAATGCAAGAGGAACATGAACGCCTGATAATGGAGTCACGTTTGGCAGAAATGCAAATCAATTCGCTAAAGGATGAAATGGAAAATATGAAAATGAGACACGATGAGGCCATGCAAAAAGCCAACGAACAACAGAAACAACAATTGGCCATGTTGCGACAAGAAATGGATAACATTCTGCAGGAGTCACTGCAGGCCAAACAACAAGAAGTGGATGAGTGTCGCAAGCAATTGGGCGAATTGCAGCTGCACTTTATGGAGGCCCAACGCAACATAGAATGCCTGCAGGAGAATGAACATGAACTGAAACAAACATTGGTCGAGTCTGAGTTGACGGCCAGAAATTTGCAGAAACAAATCGATGAGAGCACCCTGAGAGCCTCCAAGGCCACAACAGAACGTGTAAAGGCTCTCAATGAAAAATTGCAATTGGAAAAACGTCTCGAGGAATTGTCTCAAGAATTGGCCGCATATCAAACGGAACGTAGTCAATTACAACAGCAAGTACAACAATTGGAGAATGAACAATCACAGCTAATGGAACGTTTGGCTGAGGCGCAACGTCTGGCCGAAGAGGCAGCTGCACAAACATCTAACCGAAATGTAGAAAAGAAGTCGGATGATACTTGCCAATCCGGCTATACATCTGAAGAAGTTCCCCTGACAATGGCAAGCGGTGCACAAACCGTCGCCCAACAACGTCTGGGTGAACAACGTAACGCCCAAAACTATTCACCCGACTTGGGTATAGAAAGTGATGCAGGACGTATATCAAGTGCCGAGCTGAGCAATGCCCAATTGCCGCTGCTGAAGACGGTGGAAATTAGTCCGAATAAGGAAAATCTAAATGTAACTGAAGGTGAGTTGGTGGCAATGTTTTGTAAATGGAAGGGAGATGCTTTTCTAGAAAAAAAAAAAGTTTTCTTTTGGGGGTGGGGGTCATCTGCTTCACTGGAAAATATGAAAGTATTTTTTTCAGAATACTTTGAAGTGAATTATTATTAATAGGTAATTGGGGAAATAATAATTTGGAGCGGTTCATTCAAAAATTTAGTAGGGTAAGATTCTGATGGCTTCTATGGGAGATCTTCTGGATTTTTTTTGTAGAAGATCACAAAGTAAGATTCCGATTGTCTTCAAATAACACACACCACAATTTTTTTTATTAATCCAAGTTCTGGGGTGAAGATGGGATACGTCGGTCCAATCCTTTTGGTACCTCCCCCACAAAGGGTCAAAATTTTGAATCACCAAAACGATCATAAAATCCGAAATAAGCATCCGAATCTCTTCAAATTACACACGTCACAATATTTTTATTAACCCAAGGTCTGGTGTGAAGATGGAATATATCGGTCCACTCCTTCTGGTACCTCTCCCACAAAGGGTCAACATTTTAAATATTCAAGAAGCTCATAAAACGCGGAATTAACTTTCGATTCCATTCAGAATTAGTACATCTCAATATTTCCATAAGCACAAGATCTGTTATAAAGATTATAGAGATCGGAATACTCCTTCTGGTACCTCCCACATAAAGGTTCACAATTTTGAATAACAAAAAAGGATCATAAAATCCGAAATAAACATCAAATTATCTTCAACGTACACACATCACAATCTTTTTAATAACCCAAAGTCTGGTGTGAAAATGAAATATATCGGTCCAATCCTTCTGGTACTTCCCCCACAAAGGGTCAACATTTTGAATATTCATGAGGCTCATAAAACACGAAATTAACATCCGATTCCATTCAGACTTGGTACATCTCAATATTTCCATAAGCACAAGATCTGTTATAAAGATGATAGATATCGGGCACCTCCCTCTGGTACCTCCCCCACAAAGGTTCACAATTTTGAATAACCAAAACGACCATATAAACCAAAATAAATAATCTGGTTCTCTTCAAATTATACACATTACAATCTCTTTGTTAGCTAAAGGTCTGGTGTGAAGATGTGAAATATCGGTCCACTCCTTCTGGTACCTCCCCCACAAAGGGTCAAAATTTTGAATATTCACGAAGCTCATAAAACGCGAAATTAACATTCGATTCCATTCATACTTGGCACATCTCAATATTTCCATCAAACCAACATCTGTTATAAAGATAGTGCAGATCTGACCATTCCTTCTGGTACCTCCCCCACAAGGAGTCAAAATTTTGAATAACCAAAACGATCATAAAATCCGAAATAAGCATCCGATTCTCTTCAAATTACACACATCATAATATTTTTATTAACCCCAGGTCTGGTGTGAATATGGAATATATTGGTCCACTCATTCTGGTATCTTGCCCACAAAGGGTCAACTTTTTGAATATCCATGAAGCTCATAAAACACGAAATAACCATCCGATTCCATTCAAACTTGGTACATCTCAATATTTCTAACAACACAAGATCTGTTATAAAGATGGTAGAGATCGGACCATTCCTTCTGATACCTCCCCAACAAAGGTTCAAAGTTCTGAATAACCAAAACGATTATGAAATCCGAAATAATTATCTGGTTCTCTTCATATTTTACACATCCCATTATTTCTACTAGCACAAGATCTGCTGTGAAGATGGGATATACTGGTCCACTCCTTCTGGTATCTCCCCCACAAAGGGCCATATCTCATATAAAGTATAGGAAGTAGTCGATATAGTCCAAATCTGGCACGTTGTAATATTTTTATCAACCTTAGGTCAGATACGAATTGGTCAATATTGTCCAACTGCTTCGGAACCTGCCTCATAACGGGTCAACAGTTTGAATAATCCGGAGGGATATATATCTGTCGGCAAAACCGATTGATAATATTTTACTTGTTAATCTTCCAATTAGGACTTTTGATTTTCTTTCGTGGTAATAACAGATGTTTTTGTAGACTAACTACTTCTATAACTTCTTGATGAAATATACATTATTGATACCCGGAAATCTTTTCTTAATAATAACCTATTATTTTTTCTTTCCAGAACCTTTGGATTCCAGTTTGGAAAATATCAAACCATCTAATTTACCACCCAATGCAGCTGCGGCGTCATCATCCAGTGCAGTTGGACAAGAAAATTTGGCCTTTAAGAAACACGATTGTGCCAAGGTAGAGCAAGAGAACGCTGAATTGCGTCGCAAATTGTTGCGCACAAAACGTGCCTTCGAAGACACCTATGAGAAATTGCGCAATGCTAACCAGCGCAAAGCACAAATCGAAAAAGACATTAAAAATCAAATACTCAAAACGCACAATGTCCTCAAGAATGTTCGTTCCAATATGGAAAATGAATTGTAACGACGATTTGTTATTTTGGCCATGGAAGAACATCGATCGTTAGTTGTCATCAAATAATGCCATAAACACTATCACACACACACAGCCACACCCATTAAAGACACTTGTTTTTTTAATTGATTGTTTAATTTTAATTTGTATTTTTTATAAAAAAAAAACTTAATTTATTTTCTCAATGTCATTACCTTTAATAATGTAGTTAGTTAGTTTTAGATGAGTATATATGTGAAACAAACAAAAAAAAACGAATGCAACGAACTTTCCTAATCCTGCTGGTAACCAGAAACCACCAACCAACACAAGACTTACATTTAATATCCTTCTCCAAATGCCATATAATTTTAAGTTTGTTCCATGTATTATTAATTATTACTACTTAAATTTAATGCCACACACACACACACCCATGTACTCACACACATACACCATAATACGACTCATGCCCTTAATTTTTGTTTGTAACGAGTTGAACGACCAACAAATAACCAAATCTACGATCATCATTCATATTGAATGAATTGTTTTCTCTGCAATGCACGATTTAAAAAAAAAAACTAATTTTTAATAACAAATAAATAAAACTTTACCCATTTCATAACCTCAAATCTTTTTTGCTTGTAATGTCTTTTTTTAGTTTTGTTTTATAGCTTTTTTGCGTGATTTTTTATTTTATTTTTAGCCTAATTGAAGTTATACTGATGCTGCGTGCGTTTCACCACCCACCACTGTCATCATCAACAAAATGCAATCCCCATCCAGAAACATTTTAACGATATTCGAAAATTTTTGTAAAAAAAGAAATACAAAACGAACGACCCAATTTCTTTTCTAATCGAGCTGTTGATGATTCTAAACTTCTTTCTTTCCATTTTGTTTGTGCAAGTATAATTTTGTCCATTTCAAAAGCAGAACAATTTTGCATGTACATTGTGTAAAGAAACCTAAATTATATTAATATTTATTGTACAGTCCTTATTCTCCTACACCTACCCAGCCCACCCCTTGTCTATTAGTTGTAAATAAAAGTACGAGTTTAAGTTTTATATCGAACAAAAAAATGTTAATACGAAATGAAATAATTAATAATAATATGAAATGTTATATGTAAAAAGTGGCAATGTGTTTTGTTTATTTTGAGGGGGGAAATAGAGGAAAATTTTGCTGAGAGAGGGTTTGATCTCAAACTCCAATATGTCAGCCTATATTGTTGAGAACAAGTTGGAATTTTAACTTTTGAACAAGAAGGAGATGCCTAGTATTTTTTGCACTGAATATTTTATACATTGTCGTTTCCTCGGTCCAGAAGCACCCTACACATCCAAATTTTATTATTTTCTGAAAAGGCTTTAAAAATCCAACTTCAAAAATTTTGAACATTGACACCTAAAACTACCAAAAACCAAACTTATTCACATTCTCTAAAGAAATTGGGTGAGTTTGGTGTTTATATTGGAAAGAAAGAACCTTTGAATTGAAGAATTTCTTTTTCATTTTTCAGTTCTTTAGATTCGATTGCAGAATTAAATCGCAAACCAAATTGAATATTTATTGTAAGGGAGCTAAACAACCCAATGAGTACACGACACGTAAAAACACCGCTGTTTTGTTTGGAGACTTTTTGGGCAATAAGTTTCAAAATTCAGAAAATACAAGACAGTATCAGTGAAATAGTATCAGTCGGTTTTTTTCGACAGATTTTTACCCCCAGCCTTGAGTTATTATTATTCAAACTGTTGACCCTTTATGGGGAGGTTCCTATACTTTATATGAGTTATGTGCAACATTTGGGAAGAAGTGGAAAAAGCGTGAGGTAACGGACCGAAGTATTCCATTTTCACCCCTCATCTAATACAGATAAAAATATTGATATGTGCAAAATTTGACGGAAATCGAACCTTTATATCCAATTTCATGCGAAATCATAAATTTCGATAAATTACATACTCATATCAGATTTCTTTTTAAGAGAATTATTTAGATATAGAAAGTTGTATAGAATCGCCGGCTTGTTTCGCAAGTTATGACAGATAAAAGTATTGGAAATTGTGACCCTTTGTAAGTGAGGTACAGGAAGGGGTTGGCAGATATCTATCATCTTCACAACAGATTTTGCGCCAACAAAAGTCTTTGGATGTGCGAAATTTGAAGAGAATTGGATGCTTATTTTGCTTTTTCTGAGCGTTTTGTTTTTTTTCTAATCTTGAACCCTATGTAGGAGAGGTACCAGAAGAAATCGTCCGATCTGTAACATCTTTATAACAGATCTTGTGTTGATGGAAATATTTAGATGTGCCAGGTCTGATTGGGATCGGATGTTAATTTCGTGTTTCATGAGCTTCATGCATATTAAAAATGTTTACCCTTTGTGGGAGAGGTACGTGAAGGAGTGGACCGATATATTCCATCTTCACACCAGACCTAGGGTTAATAAAAATATTGTGATGTGTGTAATTTGAAGAGAACCGGATGCTGATATCAGAATTTATGATCTTTTTTATTTAAAACGTTGAGCCTTTGTGGGGGAGGTACCAGAAGGAATGGTCCGATCTGTAACTTCTTAATTGCATATCTTGTGTTGAAAGAAATATTGAGATGTGCCAAGGCTGAATGGAATCGGATGTTAATTTCGCGTTTATGAGCTCCATAAATATTCAAAATGTTGACCCTTTGTGGGGGAGGTACCGATATGTCTCATCTTCACCCCAGAGCTTGGGTTAATAAAAATATTGTGATGTGTTAAATTTGAAGACAATCGGACAAATATATAAGAGTTACAAGTATTCAAAATGTTGACCCTTTTATGGGGGAGTTCCTTGATGGAGTTGACCGATGTTGTCCAACATCGCACCTGAAGTAGCACGGATGCAAATATTAAGATTGATAAAGTTGGAGCAAAATTGGATTATCCTTTATCTGTGCAGTATATTATTTTCTTTGAAAATGTTGACATTTTGTGGAGGAGGTACCAAAAAAAGTGGAGTAAGTTTGACAATAATATTACGATGTACCAAGTTTGTATCAAATCGGATACTCCCTTCGAGAGTTATCGTGCGCACCAGCTAGACAGACAGACGGACATCGCTAGATCGACTCCCAATGTACTGAAACGAATTTGATCCAAAGAGACCTAGGGTCTAAAACCGTTATTTTGAAGAGGAAAGTTTTGGCCGTATCAAATGATATATGATAACACCACATAGCGTATTGGGTGTATATTGAGGTCTTGCAAACGGAATGACATATTTATTATTCCCATCATTTTATGAAGGAGGGATTTGAAATAAAAAGTTCTTAAGCAACGTAGCGGCATTTCTGTTTGCCGGAACCTCTGCAAATCCTGTAATTGCAGTTACGACTCTGCTGGCTGTATCAGTGGCTTGACAAAAATTAAAGGTTAACTTTTTATGGCTATATTTTTCAGTGCCTGATGTGACTATTTTCAAGGCCCAGGCACGACTGATAGCGTCATGTGGTAAGGAAATTAAATAATTTGTAGTATGAAACTAACAGACTGCCCCATCTACATGTCAACGATGTTACGAAAAATCTCATGACAAATTTCAATACCATAGTTTCATTATTTGTATTCAGGTTCCCAATTACATAAGGAGTTGATATTTTAAAATTTCAATAAAAGACACTGACTGCATTACTTATCAATATTGCGATTTTTTTAATAATTTATTGTTGATAGTAATAAATTGCTGTTTCTTGTTGTAGATCTTAAAATTTTAAAATATAGCTTATTTTTATTAGAGAGATAGTTTGTTTGCTTTTGATATATGTATTTGTTTTAAATAAATTGTTTTGTATTCCTTTTAGATTAAATATGCAAGAAAGGCAAAGAGAATTAAAAAATAAATAAAAAATGGATTTAAAAAAATCGTTGCATTAGATTTTAACTTCATTTTAAAATCTAAAAAGAACACAAAACATTTTACAAAATTTTCATTTTTTTAACCCATTCCAAACAAATTTCATGGGTTTAATTTTTATTCATAAGGAGAGAGATCATTGAAATTGCTGTGTAATTAATACTAAAATATACAGGGTGAGATGAAAAACTGCAACGCCATATTTTTTTTTCAAATTTATTCAATGAAAGCAAAATATATTGAAAATAGCATTAAATTTTAGAATAAGTTTAGATTTGTTCGAATTGGTCACCTTTGGCACGAATTATGACCTTTAAACAGCCAATGAGACCGTCACACGCTGCCCGAATGTTGCTCTGCGGTAATTTGGCCCATTCCCGGCGAAGCGGTTGCTTGAGTTGATCTAAACTTTGGTATTTTTTAGTGCCAACCTTGCTTTCCAAAATACTCCAGACACGATGGTCCAATGGATCGGTATCCGATAGATTTTGGTGACCATTGTGCGCTGGAAATGAAGCGAGGCACCTAATTTTGTAACCATTCTTGGGTGGCAAGTGCTGAGTCCTGTTGGAATGTCCAAGGTCTGTGGGCAAAATGTTTACGAGCCCAAAGCTTTATTACACCCTCCAGAATATTTTCGCTATAATATTTGGAGTTTTTTCTAATGCCACGGTCGATTAATACGAGCGGAGAACGACCATCGGCTGTTATTTCCCACACCGCACCATTACCATGACCCGCCCTTGAGCTCTTGCCAACTTTTTGGCAAGTAAACAAGAGCGGATCATTTTGTTTGTTTACAAACAGCTGCTGGACAACGAATTTTTTCTCATCGGAGAAAACCAAATTCGGCAGTTCACCACTTTCGGCCAAGCGAAGCAACCCTTTAGCCCTTTTGAGTATATTTTCTTTCCGTTGCGGTGTAAGTTCTTCCACTTTTTGCAAATTCAAAGGCTTTATCCCAGCTCGTTTCTCAATGCCGTTTGCCGAATGGAATATTGCGGTATGTTCAGCTCACGAGTCATTTTTCGGCCACTGCGACGTGGGTGGATTTCGATCAAGTCGCTTCTTTACTTTTCGAAGCATTTCTGCTGATTTTGCTGTTTTCTTCCGTCCACTTCCTTGACGTCGGGCTATGCTACCAGTATCACGATGTTACGAGAAACAAAAGATTTATTTACTTTTAAATGCTGGAGATCTCTAACGATAGCCACATGTGGTTTTCCAGCCAAATATAAAGAAATCACGCTTGAATTCCATCACGAATAACTTTTTTCCGGGAAAATTCTCACCAAAATGCTTTTGTAGGCTTGTAAACAATATAATTAGCTGTCGCTGGGACAACTTTAACAGCTGCCGGACAATTGGCTTAGAAATAATGACAGCATTCTGAAGTTGGTTGCAGTTTTTTTATCTCACCCTGTATATACTCTGTTCCAGAACCTGCAAGAATCTACTACTTTTACAATTTTCTTCGATATCATTTTTGTAGTTCTAGAACAGAACAATAGATTACTTATCTGTTCCACACAAAAGAAAGCAAATTTATAAAACTAAAAATGCACACAGAAAGCAAACGTTTTTTTTTTTTGGCAAATTTGATTGTGTTCTCTAAAATCAGACATTTAATATAAATATTTAAGTAATATTGGAACAAGACATATTCTTTTCTTAAATTATAACTTAATAGGATTTGTTTTTTTTTTCTCAATCAAAGTGATATAAACAAAAATTATATCACTTAAAGTCAATGGAATGGAATCCTTTACTTGTATCCTTTTATGTTTGTAAGTCGATTGTTGCAAATATGTTTTAGTCATAGATTTATACTAAATATTTTAAGCATTTTTTGTTTTTTGGTTTTGTATACTTAAGATTTAGTGTTGTTGTTGTTGTCAAAGCTAAAACGCTAAAAATTAGGTACCATCTACATATGTATTGAATTATTCAAAACATCAGTTTCGATTTATTTTCCATTTTCTTTGTTATTTTTGTATATAGAAGAGTATTGTAAATAACCTCTTTGTTTTTATTATTTGAATAGAATTGCACTTTTCCTTTTGCTTATTATTTTCGTTTGATAAGAGTTTGTTTTTTCTTTTGGCAAAGCACACATACATCTAAAATATTTCCATAAAAATAAAAGTTTATTTAACTAAAATGTGCGCGTAGAAAAATTATATTCAATTAAATTGCAGACTATTGCAGCAGTTGTTTGGCAAAGTGTTTTTTTGGTTTTTATTGGTGGTGTGTAGTGTTGTAAGAGGTGCTGAAAGTTTAATCTTTTAATTAAAAATATTTGTTTACTTATAATTTATGTTTTTTTTAACTGTACATGATTATTTAATTTTTGTTTCGTCTTTTTCTATTGTGGAACCTTATGAACCATTCACAAAATCGAACAAAGGATGCCTGTCTTTTTCAAAACCATAATTTATAATCGTTACAGATTAACTATCGACTGCTATAGAATTGATTAATGCCCAAAACATGTTTCTCTTCGTGATATTTTTGTAGGATATGTGTTATAACCGAAGTTGTGTCATTGTCATCGCCCCACACACGTATTGATTGTTCGTTTTCCAGTATTGCTAAAAAGGCTAGGGTGGAATGAGGTGTATTTAGTAACTGTGTGTGTGTGGTGGATAATTTCATTTTCAACTCACCCAATAGAATTTCAGGATTACTTAAGCTTAATTGAACTTGTGGCAATTGCAGTATTGTTTTTAATATTGGCGAGTCTTGAGCTAAGCCTTCGCGTAATTCTACTAAACTACCAGTACGATTTCCACATAACCATTCACAGGCTGCCGCTTTGTTGTTGCAGGTTTTCTTTAATGCCTTCAGAAAAAAAATATTACATAAAAACGTTAATAAAAATTGACGCTTGGGTTAAAAATATAAAATAAATAAAACAAAATATCTTTAGATCTAAATTAAACACCTTTGATGTTCGTCCTCAGCCGGGCCGAACTTTGAATACCCTCCACCATTTGCAAATTTTCAAAAAAAAAGAAAAAAATAAAATCCGTTGAAAATTCTATTAAATTAAAAATACCGAATGCAGCCGTTATATTAGGTTGACGGTCTCATTGGCCGTTTGAAGGACATAATTCGTGCCAAAGGTGACCAATTCGAACAAATCTAAACTTATTCTAAAATTTGATGCTATTTCCGACATTCTTTTACTTTCATTCAATAAAATTTAAAAAAAATATGGCGTTTGACTTTCTTGCAATTTTTTATCCCACCCTGTATAGCTCTGAATAAACAACATTGATTTTCGTCCTCAGTAAGAAACAACATAGATTTTACAAACTTCCCAAAAAATGCGCCTGAAAGTATGCAACATGACTTTACACTGTTCAAAACAAAAAACTATTGTTAATAACTGTAACAAGATGGCGCTCACAATATCAACTGTTTAGTATCAAAGCATCTCAATTTCAAGATGCTAATTTCGATAAATGTGCCCGGCATACAGTCAGACTTTACCAAACTCCTTCATAGATTATGACCCTATCCCCATTTAAAAACCCAACCCAAAATCTGTGTGCCTCCAATATCAAAATGTGTTCTTGGCATAACACAAAGGGTCCTAATAAAGCCACACAAATATGTTTCTTTTCTCACCTCGATAACATCGCTTTCTTGAAACCCCATTTCCACCAGGGTCTGTACAGCGTCTGGTGTCGGTGGTATATCACGATAGCTGTATATGCGCACGATTTCCAACAAAGCAGCAATATTTTCCACAGTGTTCTGCAAATGGGAAAAAAGAGAACATTAATTTGCCACTCAAGTTTCTGGGGAACAACCAAGATAGGGATACAAGAATAAAAAGAAATGCCACTCTTCTCCGTGAAACTCTAAAATTGTTTTTGTGTTTGAATTTCGAATACGTAAACTGATACGTCTTCTTCATAAGATTTTCTTTTTCTTTGAAATGATTTATGAACTATGACCTTTTATTAAAAGCGTATTCATTTTCTTGGAGCAAACATTTGAAACCAACTCCTGAAAAAATCAAAAATAAGAAGAAATGCACCATTTCTTTACCCTCTTCTTCATGAACCTATGAAATTGTTTTTGTGTTTGAATCTCAAATACGTAGACTGATACTTCTTCTTCATAAGAACTCAAATGGGATCTAGGCTCTTCTAGCAGAAGGCCAGTACCATAGCTTTAATTTTCTACGAGCAGATCTATGGTCTTTTATTCTTATCAACTTTCTTGGAGCAAACATTTGATACTTTTAGATGACCTATTGTGTTCTATGATAAAATAGGTTGGAGCTTTATGGTAACACTCCTTCAACCCTTCCCAGAAACTGATACTTCTTCTTCATAAGGACTCATGTAGGACCTTGGCTTTTCTAGCAGAAGACCAGTACCATAGCTTTAATTTTCTACGAGAAGACCTATGGCCTTTTATAAAAAGTCCATAAATTTTCTTGGAGCAAAAATTTGATACCTATATCCAAAAAATTATTTTAGATGATCTATTGTGTTCCATGAAGCAATTGATTAGATCTTTATGAGAACTCTCTTTCTTGACTCTTTCCAGGAAGTTTCATTCTTTTAACATCTTCAGCATTTTACTCACATCACTCGATAATATCCCCGATGGTGAAGCCATTGAACTTGTTCTTGGTATACCCATTACAACCTCTTCAATTGACGTCTCCTGACTTTGACGCTGTATCAGCCATTCCAAAGCGGCCGAGTAGACATTGTTGTGCAATTTCAATGCATATTCGGCTTTTTCTTTCTTAAAGCCCATATCCACAAGGCACTGGGTTGTATCGTTCTGATAATTTCGTTTATTGATGAGTTTTTGTTTAAGCATTGCTATTAAACGCTTGGCATAGGGACCGGAACCTATCACCACAGCAGAAGCCTGGGCCAGGGATATCAACACTTTGCGGACATCAAAATGTAGCTAAGAAAACAAACGCATTTATTTAATAATAATGGAGAAGTTATTAAAAACCTCTTTTACTCACATTTGATTGTTGGAAAATCTCATTTATATCCACCAGGGGAACATCAGCCGAACGGACCGGCAAATTAACGGTGGCCAATTCAATATCTTTGTCGGACGGTGAACGAGTCTCCCGGGTCTGATTTACCAACTGCTGGATATTGCCACGTTTGGCCACCAAGACCAAGGTGTCATTATTTCCAATGCCCAGCTGTTCAAGGCTATGTCCTTCATTCAGTTCAGAGCCCTGATAATCGGCTTTTAATAAACGAAATTTGGTTGCCAACGATTTTGGTTCACTCGCGTACATAGGCATGTTGGTAAGTAGATCATCGGCTAATTCCAATATTATTTCATTTTTCAGTTCTAACAAACGGCGATTACCATCAGTTTGGAATATCATAAGCCTGGCCGAGGGACAGATAACACGAACCTTAATGCGTTCTCGAGGCGAGGAACAGCCCCGGGCGTAACTTTCTGTATTTACTAAGGTATTGGTGATGGACGAAGATGCTGCCGATGAACGACGGGAACTTTTTCTGAAAATTCGAAAAAGGGAGAATGAAATAAATTGTGAATACAAAATTGGAATTTACTTGGCAAAAAGACTGCGTAATTTTTGCATTTTAGTTGACAAATAATTTTGAAAATTTGAAAATAAAATATTTCGTACTTAGCTAACTTGACTGGGGAAGAATGTAGGGAGCGAGTGGCATGATGACACTGCTGCTGCTGATGTCTCGAAGGTGTTGGTGAATTGTGTTGATGTCTGCTTGAACTATGCTGACTGCTGTGACCCGGAGAGTTGGCATCTGTATCATCTTCCAGATCTTCTTCATCATCGTCATCCTCCTGCTTACAGTTTAAACGATGAAATCTTGGGGAATCTCTATCTCTTGTCTCACTGCATTCATCATCGTCCTCTTTGTTGCCTCCACCACTGGCACTGCCTCCACTGCTTTGAGACCTCTTGGATCGTGCCAACCATTTTGCACGTCGTTCTGCAAATTTTTCACGCACCCATGGAATCATTTTCACACAATGGATTGATTTGCTTGGCACTTGTCTAATTCGAAATCATGTTTCCCAAATCGGGGTTTAATTTATTTTGTTTTCTTCTCAAGGCATTGGCAATTTGTTATTGTAACGCTGTTTTGAATAAATGTGACCAACCAATGAAGATCATGATCATTAGGATGCATTAGAGCACTTTTCAAGTCAATTGAAAATTTCCTCAAGGCTTACAAAGGTGTGCTATTATAGGGCCTAGCTCCTTTTCATTTTTGATCATAGATTTCTTCGAATTTCAAGGATTTTTGACCTTTATACAATTTTTGTGCTGTGCAATATTTTATGTTTACTTTTCCAAAAAATATGTTCAATAACAACAGGACACCACCTCCTTTCCTTGACTCCTGACAAGCTTCAAACGTTACGAATGGTATGATAGAGAAAAAAGGCTGTTAAAGAGGAATACAAAGCAGAATTGGCGTGTGTGTAGTCAGTGTTTACGAATAAAACAAAAGGATGAGCAAATATCAGCTGATTGTTTTTTTTGCAAAACACTGTGAAAATGATATCCCTAACACGTTTGCCTTTGCTAATCACCTTGAAATGATAACCCGTTGTTTTTCAATTCCAAGTGAATGATAACTGTTGATGATTGCTAGCACGCCCCCTACATGTCACATTGTCATGAAAACCCTTTAAACAACGCCGTCATTTAACCACTTTAGTATGGCTCCGTTAACCACAGAAATTTAGTTCCATTACGCGATTAATTTTTATTAACAAATATCTCGTGAAATTGGTTTTTTAATTGTGAAATATTTATGGCAAACGTGTCTTTAGCCACCACCATTGCCCGGATAATAGAAATTAAGTGAAAATTCATAGAATTTATTGCAGAAAATACAAGTGAAAATTCTGAACAAGTCGTCGAGAAGCAAGCAAATGAAAACGTAGAAAGAAGAAGAAGAAGAAGAGGCACACATATTAATGCGTTGGATTTTGAAGGAAGCAGCAAAAGAACGAAACGAATCAACACACAATAAAAAGAAAATAAGTTGCTTTGTAATGTTTTTTATGGCCCATGCGAAAATAATGAACGGGGAAAGATACTAACAACGCCGCCGCGGCCAACGACGACGCAAAAAAAAGAAAGAAAACACACAAACATTAAATACAACAAAAGAGGTAAACAATTTTTTTGATCAATTATAATCTTTGTTTCATCTTTATCAGAGGAAAGCAAAAATTTTTATTCGTTATTTTTTTTTTCTTTCTTGGAATGTAGTGTTGTGATATACGCTTCCAAACCCGTCACGGCTTTGTTGTGTATAGCGCGCAAGAGTGTGTTAGTGTAAATATGTATTTGAGTGTGTGTATGCCATATATGAGTGGGAATCAATGGTTCGTTGGTTGGTTGAATGTCTGGATACTTAAATCTTATTTTAGGGGGATGAAACGGGGGTTTGCATGCAGGTGTAGGGTATTTTTGTTATTCCCTTTTCCACACGTACACTCTAGCGAGCACACGCTCTCATCAAACAGTAATTGTTATCACAGTTTTTCCTTTATTTTCTGTTATGTTCCCCTCTTTCTGTGTGTGTTTTTTTATGTTTCATCCACCTTCAACAGACAGGAAGTGGAGTTTTAAGGTCGCTGTGATCTATATTTGGAAAGAAAACCAAAACATCCCAAATTTAATCAGTATTGAGAAGTAGATATCAGATCATGAAATACAGGCGAAGGGGTGCAGAGTGGAAGTTTTTAAAAATTTGAATATCTTATTGGCAAAGGACTTACCAGCTCCTATTGGGATCAACTATTTCTAGGTAATTTGCGTTTGTGTCACGTTTTTGAGCTAAACCTTGTATATTATGGCCTCCATACAATCAATGTCATTGACCTTATAATTTTGAATTGCATTGAAAAAGAGAGACAACCTTCTAGAAATTTTGAAAGTAAATTGAATTTCCGGTTCGAATTCTTTGTTCAAACTGGCTGATTTGAATTTGTATGGCAATTTATCATTTTGTCACCAAGATTCAACATTTCAAACAGATTTTTTATTAGCTTATCCTTCAGAGACTTAGGATCATCTGATTTATTCCAATAGGAGGGTATACGGTTTTAAATAAGTAATTTCCAATTTGGAATTTCTGGAGGATGAATCATCATATATATATTGTACCTAGCATATTTATCACATAGATATAGCCATGGTTTTGATTAGCTACATTATATTGAATAACAAAAGCACATAATAGCGCAAATCTAATATCTAAATTAATTAATCAGTTTTTAATTAAACTTTAGATAACAATTCTATATTAGATTTTTTTAATTATAAATGTATTAATTATTACTTTTTGTTTTCCTGCTGTAACTAATCCCTAATTAATCAACCTTTTCTTAACTATCTCTTACAGCCCAGAAATCTGCTAAAAATTTCAATCAAGCAACTGGATGCAAAGTGAAAAGTTATAAACAAAGCGCCAAAAAAATATAGACGAAACTTGTTATATAGAGTTTCTTAAAATTAGTATTTGTTTTTTTTTACTAACTTTAGTTATAAAAGTACTGGGATTAGTTTTGAGATTTTTTGAAACTAAGGTAAGTAATCCAACATTCATTTTATATCCTTTTCAAAACCACTTTTCTTGTAGAAACTTATCCCTGCTTGACCATGTGGAATTTGGATAGACAACAACAACAAAATGGTGTAATTACCTCAACAAATACAGGAACACAACAGAATACCAACAATGGCAATGGTTCACGATCCGGATCACAAAATCCACCCAAACAATTGGGTATGACATCAGCGATTAGCTTGGCAGGTCCACGACCTGAAGATGTACAAAAAACCGATGAGCTGCGCAAAGCTTTGGAGCCATACAAAGTCTTTGAAACGGAAGAGGAGCTAAATCATCGCATGGAAATTCTAGCCAAATTAAATACATTGGTCAAACAGTGGGTCAAAGATGTGTCCATTGCCAAAAATATGCCCGAAGCAGCGGCCTCCAAGTTGGGTGGTAAAATCTATACATTTGGCTCATATCGTCTCGGTGTACATCACAAGGGTGCCGATATTGACGCATTGTGTGTGGCACCACGCAACATAGAACGTTCGGATTATTTTACATCGTTTTTTGATTTAATGAAAAAACAGCCTGAGGTCACGGAATGCCGGGCCGTAGAGGAGGCATTTGTGCCGGTAATCAAAATGAATTTTGATGGCATAGAAATAGATTTGCTCTTTGCCCGACTATCTCTCAAAGAGATACCCGATGATTTTGATTTACGTGATGATAATTTGTTAAAGAACCTAGATCCACGTTCGGTGCGCAGTTTGAACGGCTGTCGGGTAACGGATGAGATATTGTCGTTGGTACCCAACATTGAGAATTTCCGTTTAGCTTTACGTTCCATAAAACTGTGGGCCAAGAGTAAGTTGTCTCGGCTGTTACTAACTTTAAATTTTTTTATGACAATTTTTGTCTTTCAGAACATGGCATCTATTCCAATTCCCTGGGTTATTTTGGTGGTGTGACATGGGCCATGTTAGTGGCCCGAACTTGCCAGCTATATCCAAATGCCACAGCCGCAACCTTGGTTCATAAATTCTTTTTAGTGTTTTCGCGTTGGAAATGGCCCCATCCTGTGTTGCTTAAACATCCAGACAATGTTAATTTAAGATTTCCGGTAAGTGGTGGCCTTTTTTATACATATACTTTATAAAAAAATGTCCTCTTCCTTCCTTAAAGGTTTGGGATCCCCGGGTCAATGCCTCGGATCGTTATCATTTAATGCCCATCATAACACCAGCATATCCCCAACAAAATTCCACATTCAATGTTTCCGAATCAACAAAGAAAGTTATTTTAATGGAATTCAACAGAGGCATGACCACAACGGATGAAATCATGTTGGGTCGTGCCTCCTGGGACAGATTATTTGAAGCTCCCAGTTTCTTTTATAGGTAAGTTGTAATTTTATTTATTTTACATTTATAATGCAATTTGTAATTCTTTTTTTTTTCAGATATCGCCACTTTATTGTGCTCCTGGTAAATTCACAAACCGCTGATGATCATTTGGAATGGTGTGGTTTGGTCGAATCTAAAATTCGTTTACTTATAGGCAACTTAGAACGTAATCAACACATTTCACTGGCCCATGTCAATCCCAAATGTTTTGAGCACAAAAAGGGCAACACAAACAACACCAACAACAATAATAATAATAACAACACTTCATGTTCACAGAACAGTAGTGGCAACGAAGAAGATAAAACCGGTGGCTCCCAGCAGACCACATCAACGGTAACCAGTTCACCATTCTGTTCAATGTGGTTCATAGGTTTAGAATTTGAACGCACCGAAAATCTCAATGTAGATTTAACGGAAAGTATACAAAATTTCACGGAACATGTCATACAACATGGTGTAAGTACAAGAGGCAATAGATTTCCAAAGAGAACATTATAATGACTTGTTGTTTATTTGCTTCCAGGTAAATATTAAAATGCTTAAGGAGGGCATGTCCATTGAAGCTCGCCATGTTAAACGCAAACAATTGTCTCAGTATTTGGACGCTGATTTCCTCAAGAAGGAACGAAAATCCATGGAGAGCCATAATAATTTCAATAATCAGATTATGGCCAATCGCAAAAGGCTATCCACAGAAATGCAAAAGGATGGCAGTAATGGTAGTACCAATACCAATGTCAAACGTTCACGTGTCAGTGAATCGGTAAGCAAGCAAGCAAGCATCCAAACCATTTTAATTGAATTCCCATTAATGCTTGTTATCCTTCCTGTTTAGAATGAGGAGAACTCAAATGCATCCAGTGATGCTGGTGGCGCGACAACTCCCACAACACCCACCTCAACCCAACAGACGCCGCCAACATTTAGCAATGCTAACAGCAAACAGGCCACACCAGTGGAGGATCATTCGGACAATAGCAACAGTGGTGGTGGTGGTGCTGGTGCAGGCAATGCCAATGGCAATGGCAATAGCACACCTAATAGCAACACAGCAACAGCTTCAGCTCAACCCGCAACCGAAGTTGCATGCTCGTGACCGCCGCCGCCGCATACGACGACAGCGACACCGCATCCGCACCTCTATCCTCCCACGCATACATTGCTGACCCATGGCTCGCCACATCCTCTGCTCCATCATAACACACAGAAATTTCGTAAAAACAACAATGCCGCTGCAGCTGCCAATTCCAATAGCATTTTCTGCCAACGTCTAACATCCAGCTCCGCATCAGTGTCATCGTCGTCGTCGTCATCATCGTCTCAATCAACAGTGAATCCCACGACTTTGTACAATCGTCATGCCAGGCGTCTCTCCAACTCATACAGCAACAGCAACCACAGCCACAATCACAACCACAGCCACAGCCATAAGCAGCAACATCTACAGCATCTGCATCAACAACATTTATCCATCAACAAGAATACGAACAACAACAACAATAGCAACAACCACAATATATCTGACCACGAAACACCGGGAAGTACTATGGCTACACCAACCACTACCATAACTTGTAAGTTTTTATTTCAAATTGATAATAATTTTTCATTTTCATCATTTGGTCTGATGCAACAACGGTGGGTTTTGATCTTTTCTAAAGAATTATTAAAGAAAAAAAGACTACTCTTGTTTTTTTGAAAAAAATATGCCCGTTTCCCCATCTCAACTAGCGCATTCTTCAATTCATCCAAATCATCATTAACTTGCATTAATACCCCACACCCTCCTCTAAATAGCAGCTTTATAACTGACCGTATATGTGTATGTGTTATACTCTATACAACTGACTTTTTTTCTAATACTACTTTACAATTTTTTAGGAAAATTTTTTTACCATAACTTTTTTATTATAAAATACCTTTATATAGATATATATACAAATTTTTTCTTTATTTTTTAGAAAATATAATAAAATTAAAAAAAAAAACAAAATATTGAAAAAAAAAGAATGAGAAAAAAGAAAAGAAAAATGCAATATACTATTTAAAAATTATTTATATTTTTTTATAAAAGAAAAAGAACAAAAGCAACAAAATAAAAAAAAGAAAATCAAAAAAAAAGAGAAAGAAAAAAAATCAAAAAAAAATATATTTAAAAAAATGATTCCAAAAAACAATTTTATTTTAATTTACCAGTCTTTATTATTTTCTTTTCAAAATTTATGCTATTATCTTTTTTTGTTTCTCACATGGTTTTGGGTTTCTTCATACCTTCTCCTATTTTCAAAATTTATTCAAAGTTGACATGTTGTGTACGGTGATCAGGGCCCCAGGAACTTAGCGGCTTTAAATTCTATAAATTAAAAAAAAAACGAAAAATTCTTGTTTAGTCGGGGATTTAAGAATTAGTGGCCCTTATAGCATTAGCTTAAAATACGTAGACCCAATTGTCTCACCATTTGTGTAACTGAGTAGTTGGTGTGAGAATTTGGGTAGTCGTACCGAATAGTAGATCCGTATGTCGTGAAAACGACAAGCGCTTCAATTTGGTAGATGTGAGTATTCAATGAATCCACATAAATTTCAATCAAAGTTCTCGGTATAAAGTTAAGTTACCATAAGAAATATTGAAAACGACTCGAAAAAAATTATTTGAAAATTCCGAAGGGAAGAATATGGTCTCAGAATTTAATTGATTCAAAATCAATGCGTCTAGAAGAAATCAATCGATTCCGATTTTGCAATTATCAGGGCTTGAACCTGGTGAAACGTTTTTGTCGACCACGAAAGGGTGCTATAAAAATTTTTCGCTTACTTTCGGAACACCCACTTTCTTATACATTGTCCAATATAAAATCTTCTCAATAAAGTCTTCTAGTCTTCCAAAAATAATACCTTAGAGTTTTGTATACTTTCCAAGAACAGTATTAACCCATGTTTTCATAGGACTTCTTAGTAAAAACCCCTCCTTGGCCCATTAAACTACCTTCAGACTACGATCTACCATTCAGGAATGAACCGATCGCCAACAATACTAAACCTGATGATAGTTCTATTCATTTTGAAGTCATAAATAAAAACTAAGGACCAGCTTCTGTGTGGTGATACGAAAGTGAGGTTTCAATTTTGTTATTTAAATTTAAAAAAAACGTTTAATATTTCATAAAGATTTAATTAGAATCAACTTGAAGGTCATCCTCCTACTTTGTATAAAAAAGAGACGTTCTTATGAATTCGAGTCCGGAATTATATGAGATCTTGATAGTAGCGTATACTTTGTAAGAACTATAGGTATTACACCTTGTTTCCACAGGCCTTCTTAGTAAAAACCCCTCCTTGGCCCATCAAATTACCTTCAGACTACGATCTACTATTCAGAAACGAACCATTCGCCAACAATACTAGGACTGATCCACCAAACGCCAATGAAAAATTCGTCAGTTCATCAATTAGTTTTATTTATTTTCAAGTCGTAAATAAAAACTAAGGGCCACTTTCTGTTAGGTGATACGGAAGTGAGGTTTCAATTTTGTATTTAAATATAAAATAAATATAAAAAAAGTAGAAATTGAAAAACTCGTGCAGAATGGTGTTTTTTTTTTAAATTCGTATCGCCATACAGAAATGGGGCATTAGTTTTTTTTTTAATTCGGCAAGTTAAATAGATTTACTTTTTCCCAAAGCCTCGATCAGTTTTATATTCGAAATCCTCTCTTCTGATAGCATTTAGTACCGAGAGTCGTTACAAAACTGCCCTTTTGGGAAATTAAAGCTTGCGCTCTTTTCATTGGTTTTATAGGTTTGGGGAGATATATTTTTCAAAGTCTACTGAGGCATATCGTTAAGGTTGGGATTTGGGAGAAATGTCTTTCTGTTCAAGCAACGCAGGCTCTTAGGGACCAAACAAATTATACATTTCAAGGAAAGCCTGGAAATTACTTTTCCAGGAAATGATACACCATTTGAATAAAACGAAAGTATCTAAGATGCTGTGTACAAATCCAACAGCTATCGAAATAGTCCTCAGCAGGCCAGTAAATGATTTCAAAATTATTTTAGAAATAAAAGATATTTTAGAAATAAAATTCAGAATTGTTAAAAAAAATTGTACAGAATTGTACAAATCCAACAACTATCGGAGTTATTCTTAGCACTCTCCAGGCCTGTAAATTATTTCAAATTTATTTTAGAAATAAAAGATCTTTTTGAAAAATTATTCAAAATTGTTAAAAAAAAAGTTATATTTTTAAAGATTCCGTTCCTTGCATAGCATTTAAGTTATTCTAGTATTACAAAGTCTCCTTCGAACCTGTCAGCATTACATTAAGTAGATACTTGAGTGCAACATTCTCTGGAAAATATCGCCCAAAATCTACATTAATTTTTATAGCCTCCACCTTGAAGAGGGGGTATATTAACTTTGACATTCCGTTTGTAACATCTCTAAATATTCGCCGTAGACCCCATAAAGTATATATATTCATGATCAGCATAAAATTCTAAGTCGATTTAACGATGTCTGTCTGTCTTTTGGAAACACGATACAGCCCACATTATTTGACGTAGAGCTTCAAAATTTGGCACAACATTGTGTATTATGTCTAGGATGGTTGGTATTCAAAATCAGATATATCGGTCCACGTTTTGGTATGGCCGCCATATAACGGTACCTTCCCATATTCACTATTTTGATTATTTTCGCCAATTTTTTTCACGGATTTGTCTAAAAATTGGTATTTGTAGGTCATAATAGGTTCTAGCTCCTGTGGCAGGACATTGAATATTTAGGTCCACGTTTTTCTATAGCATGAATATTACAATGCCCATCAAAAATCGGTATTTCGATAATCCAAGTCACACCTAGTTGTTTCAAAAGACTTGCCGCAAATAAATTGGCCTAATCTAAATTCGGGTTAAATAAAATCTTGTCCCTTCTTAACTAGAAATGTATGATACAATTATGTGGGTTACATTCGAATAAGAAACATCACTAAATTCTAGTTTTTTGTGGCCACAATTAACTCTCCAAAAAATCTATGCTCCATCTATAATAATCTCCACTAAATTTAGTTTACTCTCCCATTGCTCATTAAGTACAGCTGATTGATTAACTTTAAAAGTAAGGTTAAAGTTAAGCTAAGTGGTATTGTAAGACAAAAACAACAACTAATCATGATATTTGATAAATAATTTTAATCAATTATTTTCTTTCTTTTTCATTTTTTTGTGTCTCTTTTTTTCTTCTCTCTTTCCATTACATTCCATTTCCCTTTAATCATTATGACTCTTCTTGCAAATCCCAACAACAATTGGCAGTGTTATAAGGCCTGTATAACCTGTAAACATCCTATATCACCCTACCCTCCCAACAACCAGACCCCCCCACAATTCATCTTCTCCTCGTCTATAGATTTAGGATTTTTAGTTATAAGGACTATTGGTTCAAAGCCACGCAAATAAGGAAAACAAACAAAAAAAAAATGAGAAAAACAAAAGAAAAAGGTAAACGAATTTGCTACAACTGATTTATTTGAGTTTGAAGAGATGAAATTAAATTCCTGATTCTAATTTCTTACAGAATATCAATAATCAATTATAAGATGAGCACTGTTACATTGAGGAAACCAACCAACCAATCGGCCAGCCAAATTGCAAGGGGAAAAGTGTTTGGAAGACAAGACTCTACCATCACCCAAAAACCCTGAAGGCCAGGGTCTAGGAAACCAGCCAAAAAATTTAGATACGACCAAGCAACCATCATCACCAACAATTACCACATTTTCTCAAAAATAACAATGGTAACAAATAATTGTTATTAACATTTATATATTTTACAGCTTTCAAAAAGCTTATAAATCTGTCCCTCTGCCCCCCTTACATCAAATATCAAAAAAAAAAAAAAAAAAACAACAAAAACTACATGGAATGGAATTGGTCATCATCATCATCTTCAACTTAGATACAGTTTCTGTTTACTGCCTACCTGGTCTGGATGTTATCATCAGCTGGGAAATGAGAGACCAAGAAGAAGCTGGACAAACTTTCGCACTCCTACACACTTCCTCTGGCCAACAGTCGGCTGGCTGAACCGTTTCTCGATGCAACAACTTAAATAAACAAAAATAAATTTATTTTAATTTTTTCCACCACATTAGAGCCTAGAAAAGCTAAACATTTTTTTTGATGGTTTATTATATTTACAACAAAAAACAAAACTGAAAAACGAAAAGAAAGAGAAAGCAAGAAAACTGAAAAAAGGTAAATCACAACAATTTTAAAATAACAAACATTTTTTTCCAAAATAAAAACTAATTTAACCTAAAAAAAAAAAAAACAACAACAAAAGATTACAAATAAAGGCAAAAAAAAGTGAACAATAATAATACCAACAAAAAACAATATCTGTGTTTTTAATTTTATTTAATTCAGGGTAAATATAATTGTATGCAAATTTAATTGAATTCGGTGCCTGGTTTTTTTTTTTTTTTGGAGGAGAAAATGTAAAAATTTTAACTTGTTAGGTGTAATCGAATTTGGAACAAAAGTTGACATAAAATGTGTGTTGGGTTAATAAAAACAATGTAAAATTATGAAATTATTAAATTTTGGCTATGGCCAGAATAATTCTCCCACCATAAACCCACCTTGGAATATAGGAATCTTTGTTTGAAGATTAAGGGTAAATTAATTTATGCTAATGGTAAATTAATTTATTTATATATTTTATAGACCATATCACATGATTAGGGCATTTTTAATTTTATTGTGAAAAAAAAATAAAAAAATTTGGCAATTTTCAAAAAAAAAAAAAAAAAATAATAATAAATAAATAAAATCTGTTAAAAATTCTGTTAAAATCTTAAAACATACCGAATGTAGCCGTAATATTATGGTCTATGCGGCGACGTGGACCTGCATAGGCAACTTTTGTCATAAGCTATTGCAATTGAATAATGTTGATAAAATCATCAATATATATAGGGAGGTGCCGTTATATAGGGGCTATACGAAGGCGTGGACCTGTACGGACAATTTTCTGTCATAGGCTGTAATATCCATTGCGAACTTCAAATACCAAATTTGAAATATTTCCGGTGAATAATGTTGCTTAAATCACTAAAATACAGAATATTAGGAAGTGTCATTATATGGGGGCTATACCAAAACGTGGACCTGCGCGGACAATTTTCTGCCATAGGATGTAGTATCCGTTGCGAACTTCAAATACCAAATGTGAAACAATTCCGGTGAATAATATAGCTAAAATCGTCAAAATACCGAGGTGCCGTTATTTGGGGGCTATACCAAAACGTGGACCTGCACTGACAATTTTCTGTCATAGTCTGTAGTATCCGTTGCGAACTTCAAATACCAGATTTGAAACAATTCCGGTGAATAATGTCGCTTAAATCATCAAAATACCGAATATAGGGAGGTACTATTATATGGGGGCTATAACAAAACATGGACCTGCACAGAAAAAATTTCTGTCATAGGCTGTAGTGTCAATTGCGAACTTCAAATACCAAATTGGAAACAATTCCGGTGCACAATGTCGCCTATATCACACAAAATACCGAATATAGGGAAGTACCATTATATGGGGGCTATACGAAGACTGGGACCTGCATAGACAATTTTCTGTCATGGGCTGAAACATCAATTACGAACTTCAGAAACCAAATTTGAAACAATTCCGGTGAATAATGTCGCTTAAATCACAAAAATACCGAATATCAGGAGGTGCCGTTATATGGAGGCTTTACGAAGGCGTGGACCTGAACGGACAATTTTCTGTCATAGGCTGTAGTATCCATTGCGAACTTCAAATACCAAATTTGAAACAATTCCGGTGAATAATGTCGCTTAAATCGTCAAAATACCGAATAAAGGGAGGTACCATTATATGGGAGCTATACCAAACGTGGACCTTCATGGCCAATTTTCAATACCAAAAGTCGTGCAGACATAATATACAATTGAGTAAAGTTTTTCCAACCTACTTCATTTCGTTCGGAAGATAGAGTGATTTCTACAGACGGACGGACATAGGTAAATCGACATAGAATTTTATGCTGATCAAGAATATATACAGGGTGAGATAAAAAAATGCAACAAAGTCAAACGCTATAATTTTTACATTTTTTTTCTTAATTTTATTGAATGAAAGCAAAAAATGTCGGAAATAGCATCAAATTTTAGAATAAGTTTAGATTTGTTCGAATTGGTGACCTTTGGCACGAATTATGGCATTTAAACGGCCAATGAAACCGTCACACGCTGCCCGAATGTTGCTCTGTGGTATTTTGGTCCATTCCCGGCAAAGAGCTTGCTTGAGGTGATCGACACTTTCCAAAATACTCCAGACACAATAGTCCAACGGATTGGTATCCGGTGCGTTGTGTTGGAAATGAAACGAGGAACCTCATTTTGTAACCATTCTTGGGTGGCGCGTGCTGAGTCCTGTTGGAATGTCCAAGGTCTGCAGTCAAAATGTTTGCGTGCCCAAGGCTTTAATACACCCTCCAGAATATTTTCGCGATAATATTTATTCTGATGCCACGGTCGATTAATACGAGCGGAGAGCGACCATCGGCTGTTATGGTGGCCCACATCACCACCATCACCATGGCCGGCGCTTGAGTTCTGGTAGCCAACCGAAGGTGCACATTTACAGCTGACATCTTTGGCAAGTAAACACGAGCGGATCATTTTGTTTGTTTACAAACTGCTGGACAACGAATGTTTTTGCAGTTTTTTCATCTCACCCTGTATTTTCCAATTTAACCGTATTTCTTAGAGAAGCCTGGTTGATTTGCAAATTGGTTCATATTTGGATACGTCATCTTTTCATACCACTGTTTAATTATTTCTTACGTTGGGCGCCACCCAAATAATGTTCAAAAATTCATGTCTATCTACATCGGATCTACTTCGAATTTTTGAACATTATTTGGTTGGCGCCCGTCCGCAAATTGGTTAATTTTTAAACTCCTTAGCTTTTCAGATGTTTCTGGCATATTTTACATGAAAAAATTCCAGATTTCTTACGTTGGGTGTCACCCCAAAAGTGACTCAAAATGCAAGCCTACCAATGTCGGATTGATCTGCAAATTGGTTAAATTGTAGCTTCTCTTGTCTTTTCAAACAATTTTTGTATATTTAACATGAAAAAGTGCACAGTGCTTACGTTGGGCGCCACGCAAACAGTGTTTCCAAAGGGAAATCTAGCTACTAGGAAAGGGAAATCTAGCACTAGAAAGTGTCTATTTTATATTTTAGCTATGCGAATGTAGGCATATAACTTCTACTTTCATTTCCTATCTACCTATAAACCTACCAGTCGGCAGGGTATAATGATATAATAAAAAGAGCTAATGATATACATCCCTGAGGCTATGCTCGCTTTCTATCTAAATTATTAAAGGTTAGAAGCAAAAAGTTGTTCTCTTTTATTTAATATTTTTACTACATTTCCTTAATATTTTTAAAAGAGTTAAAACCTGTGGAGGACCAATGAAATGTCTAGATTTCCTTTTAAAAATATGATTCAAATTCCTTTTCAAAACTGGTTAATATTTTCAATAGGCGTGTCGTAATTTACATTTCTTCTAAACATTGATCTGAAAATTTCTCAGTTTTTATTTTTTCCCAACAATAAATCCGAACAAAAAATTGGCAAATTCGGGCACACTCAGGAAAAAATTGTAATCAGCTGGCAGTTCTTCCATACCTCTTGATTGTACCAAAAACAGGCAGAGTTTCTAATTTATTTTCATTCCATATTTGATAGTCATTTCTAATTTTTGAAAAAGGAAAATATTGAACTGCAGCTATATGTCCCTTAAAGGGCATGTGCCAATTTCTTGGGCGTGAAATTAATATCCGCAATTTGCATTTGTTTAGAGAATTATTCAATTCAAATTTTCGAATATTATTTTTTTCTTTTGCATTCTAGAATATTTCTCAAAAACATTTGCTTTTGCCAGACGACAAAACTAAAATACCCCCTGCTCCTTGGCATGCCAAACCTAGACGATGTCTAACTAAGCGTTACTAACTTAGTACATCCTTCTTGCAATGCTAAAGGCGACAACAAGGCTACTCAACATGCCAATGCTATATTGAGATGGATAAACAAGAGAATTTCCCACATTGAGGCTTGAGACGATGAGCCACAACAAAAACACAAAACACATACCTACCCAAAAATGAAGAAAAACAATTGAAAAAATCTCCAGACTGTCAAAGCTTGACTGGCTGTATGGCTGGCTGACTGGCTCTCGCTGTTAATGAGCTGAATTCCAGGAAAATGCCATGGCTCAAGAAGGAAAACAATGCCATTGACAATGAGCGGCAAACAAATCTAACATGGGATGCTGCTGTCCTCAAACACAATTGCAACAAAAGACCCTAGCCGTGGGTGTTGAAATCGCGTTGAGCCGCAGCAGCGGCAGCGGCAGCATACAATGCCCATCCATACATTATGATTCCGGATTGAAGGTTAGTCCGGGCAAAAACAAATATTATGGCAAGGCTCTGTCTCTCGCTAACCTTAGTAGCATTGGCTAAGTCTATGACTACATTTGCCACGCCGTTGGCAGGCCAAGGAGGATTTAGTAAAGCCTTGGAATAACCCAATGTAAGATTTGTTTCTAGTCCTTCGGTTTTCCATAGAAATACGAAGGAGAATGAAGACAATTGTCTTTTATGACGGTTTTTATGACTTGGATTAAGCAAATCTACAACTAGGTATTTGTTAGCATGCATACCAACGAATGTTTGCTTAACGGTTGTAGCGTGGCCGCCATTGAGATGACGAGGATGGCGAAAGGGTCGCAAAATAGAAAAACATCTTGCAGCATACACCAAAATAGACGTTTTGTGAAAATTCACAGGTAATCAAAGTAGGACAGTGTTGCCTACCTATTGTGGAAATTAAAACTCAAAACGGCGTTTTAACACTAAAACAAATTATTTTTCTCAGTGTATACAGATTTGCTGAACAATTGATGATATTATGGTCGGTGTTCAAACCTATGGACTTCTGTGTGCATGGAGGACAGGTTAAGATTTGCAGTGCGGTAGTGGTCCTTAAAAAATTAGATGATTGGTTCAGATTTTTTTTCCCTCAGCCATATGACTAGTTATAGCCTCAGCCATAAGTCTCTTTGGACCAAATCCGTTTCAGGTCATTTTATTTAAAAAACGTATTATTCTATATTAGGTAGTGCAGTTCCAAAACAATCCGACCGCCCCCCTAACTACGTCGGTGCAACAAGGCCTCTAGCGTTCACATGTCTCATAACTAAAATGATTATGCATATGCCGGCAAGTGTTTGTCATCTGGCATCGTCGTGGACTTTTTTGTGCATATACTTAACTATATATTCACATTT